TGCTCCCCATGCATGTGTGTGCCTTTCGGCTTGCAAGCATGGACAACAATCGAGCAACCAAGAGCACGGGCAGCAGCAGCAAGCGAGCAACTTGGAGCAGCACGGCTGAAGCAAAGGAGTGGCGCAGAAGGCAGAGTGGCGGACGGAGCGTGGTACGTGCAAGGGGGTGCTTTCAGGGGGGCAGTGAAGTGAGTCGTAGGGCGTCACCGCGCAGAGGCAAGAATCGTGTCTCTTGCTTTTGCCTCCTCCACTCGTCTCCTGCTGCTTCTGACCCTCCCTTGTTGCCCCGCTTCTGTGTGCGTGTTTCTCTCCCCGTGCTGGTGTGTGCCTCTCGGCTTGCAAGCATGGGCAGCAGCAGCAACGGAGCAACCAAGAGCACGGGGCAGCAGCAGCAGCAAGCGAGCAACCAAGAGCACAGGCAGCAGCAGCAAGCGAGCAACTTGGAGCAGCACGGCTGAAGCAAAGGAGTGGCGCAGAAGGCAGAGCGGCGAACGGAGCGTGGTACGTGCCAGGGGGTGCTTGCAGGGGGGCAGTGAAGTGAGTCTTAGGGCGTCGCCGCGCAGAGGCAAGAGTCGTGTCTCTTGCTTTTGCCTCCTCCACTCACCTCCTGCTGCTTCTGACCTTCCTTTGTTGCGTTGCTTCTGTGTGGCTGTCTCTCTTTCTATACACCTCACTGCATGCACCATGTGTTGCTTGTTGTCTCTGTGCCTTGTTCATCTGCCATCTGACATCTCTTTCTGGCACATCCTCGCCCTCTCATCCACTCGCTTCTCCTCTCCTTGCTCGCACCTCTTTTCCCTTCCTTGCCATCGTTCCTCCCCTCTCTCCAGCACTCAAGGGGGCAGTGGCTGCAGCAACAACGGGATGACGGCAAGCACAAAGCAATTCGTGAGTGCGTCAGATCAATTTTTACACCACTTCTCCCTTCACCACTTACCTGCTTTCTCTGTGCCAGTAGCTCTTGTCTTCCATTCTTCCACGGCGCGCGTGTGTCTTTTCTGCTGTGTTGCTACTCAGCTCAGTTTTCAACCCCCTCCTTTCCTGCCCTCTCCTCTTCTCTGGTCTCCTCTCGTCCATCACCAGAGGGGTAAGACCTGCTATCCAGCACCAGCAGTATGGGCACCAGCTGTGGCAGCAGCAGCAGCAGCAGCAGCAGTGGTTGCAGCAGTGGTTGCAGCAGTGGTTGCAGCAGTGGTGGCAGCAGTGGTTGCAGCAGTGGTGGCAGCATCAAACGCCACTGCAGTGGGTGCGGCTGCAGGGGAAGGGTGAGTACAGCATACCCTAATGCTTCTGAGTTCTCTCTCTGTGCTGGTTGCTTCATACTGTGTGGCTCTCTCTTTAGCAGTTCTCTTTCTTCTCTAGGATTTGATGCCTTACTCGTCTTTCTCCATGCTTCCCCTCATGTTGCTCGGCTTTCCCTCTTCTTGTATCTTGTGTTTATGTTGCCCTTGCATTTCTCCCCTCTTCATTTCCCATTGCTGTCCCCTCTCCTTGTCCCGTTGATGTAGGCCTTTGCAGCTTGCAAGTGTCTTCCGATCCTCTTTCCTCCCGTTTCTTACGTGTCCTATTGTTGTCCCACTGGCAGTTCGTAAGTGGCACTTCTGTGGTAATGTGCGGGGCGAGGTGGAGGACATGTGGTGCCGCATGAAGACCTCAAGATGGGCCGCTGCTGTCCTAAGCTGTTATTGGCTGTGCTTAGGTGTGCTTAAATGTATTTAGTTGCGTTTGGCTGTGCTTAGGTGTGTTGCGCTGTGCTGTGGCGGGATAGGCGAGCGGTTGTAACATAGGTGAACGGGGTGGGCTGCCTGGAGGGTGCGTGGGCACAAGCACCCAAGCAGGAGAGTTCTCTGAAGGTGCTGTGCCGTGAGATGGTGATCCTGTGCCGTGGCATGCTGGAGACTTGGCTGCTGTAGGTCAAGGCCTTGAGTGAGAGTGAGGTGGAGCTGGAGAGAGGGGCGTTATGGGGAGACCTTGGTGAGGGCATAGACAAAGACCACATTGTAGGGGTGAAAGTGGAAGTGCAAGGCACCCGACTACGCACTGCACACAAAACATGCCAGGAGACAGGCAAACCTCATTCATGCATACCGTAAGTGGGTGGGATGGCAGGGACTGACAAGGAACAGGGTTTCTCAGTGCGGGTGGGGGATGCAGTACAGGAATAGTGAGAAGTACTTACGGTATGTACAAAAACCAAAGCCACACATGTGCTGCTGTGACCAGAGCAGTAACATTCAACAGCAGTGATACCTGAAACGGCAACAACATAGCATCGGCATGTCAAATGGGGCTGGATTTCCTCCTGAATTCACTCCAAAGCCCAAAAGCCAACACACCCTGGCCTCCTCTTCCCCCCTCCCATCCTCCTTCCTCCTCACCCCAGAAAAAGGACACTTACGTGTATCACTCAAACGAGATGAGTGGTTCATCTTGAGAATCCATAAGTTTCTTTCACTCATCCATAAGTTTCTTTCACCTGCTGGGGATTGGATGACTTTGGCCAAAAGAGAGGGATAGATAAAATTATTGATTATTTCCGAAGGTTGCAGGATACGGGGTACGATACACGCTGCAAACGTTTTCCTCCGTCTGTAATGAGGCGAGACTGCGAAACCCGGTGAAACAGAACCTCGTACAAAAATTGCGGCTGATTGCCGTGCTCTGTTTCCGTCACATGCGTTGACGTGTTTCTTCAATGTTTGGCCAGTGGGATGCAGCCTTCGCACACTCGCTGCCCAGCGCACCTTTTTATCCGCGTACAGCTTGCAGTCGCATGCTTCATCCACATTTGCGACAGTGTCTTGCAGTCGTCAAGTTTTCGCGTGAAGTCGCGAGTCCTCTAAGAACACGGCAGGCGAAGATCATTGCTGGCCACGGTGCGACATAATCAATGTAGGAAATAGTCGCACGTGAGAATAGTAAGCTGACACGAGCATATGCTTTATTTCCCCGTGTGGTGTCTGCCCTTTTGCAATTGTCGCTTCCAGCCAAGCGTCTCATCTCTGGCCTCCCCGTTCTGCTCTTCCTCTTCCTCCCCCCTCTCCTCCCTGTCATCTCTCTGATCGTCTCCCCTCTGGCACTCCCACCCGTCAATCCCGTCGTCTCCTCGTTGCTTTTCGTCTTTTCTCGTCTCGTGTACTGTGGACTTCAACACGTTTTCCCTTCACTCTCCTCTCACTCCCGATCCGACCCGAGCCCCCCCATCCATCGCTGCCACCACCATACCACACCACTGCAGTCCACAACATAGGACTGACCGACTTCAAATAGGTCACCAAATCACCCTCACAATTCTCATCGCATGCCGCATTCCCATTCTCATAAACTCCAGTGACCCCCACACGTCTTCACACCAGTCTCCGCACGACCATCCCCGCTATCGCACAGACGCCGCAACGTTTTTCAATTTCACGACCAGACTCTTGGGCTTCTTTGGCTATGGCGATTTCTAGCGCCAATGCGGCGTGCGCGTGCCTTCCGCCGGCCTGTCAGCTCTCCTGGGCGATTTTATCCGCCGTCCAACGCTACTCCAAACTCATGCCTCCTCCTTCCACGTCCGGAGCGCTATCTCCATCAGCAACGTCCGTCGAATGCGCCGCAAGTCCGCAGATGCCATCATTACCCCCGAGGCCACACAGCACCCCCGCTTGCCACGAGAATGCTGCTCAGTGGTTGCTTTTCGGCCTTATGCTTCCGCCGACGCCCGCGCCGACAACTTCGAGCGCGCAAACCACCGGAGGTGGTCTCTCCCCCTCATCTCCAATGGCCCAGCTCGACTCACCGCAGGTCAGCTTCCGTTTCGCCGCCTCTCCAACGCCAATCGCGACGGGTTTTGAAGGAAGCTTGTCTTCCGCGGTGCGCTCGTACGCTCGAGGAATCACCAGCGTCGATCGAATTGACCAAATCGAGCGACTATCCCGCGGGATTACCGGGCTCACCGCGAAGGATCCCCGTCATCAGAGGCGATTGTCGTCTAGCGCTGTTCTATCCGGCCAACCTCCGCGAGCGCCAAAAGCCAACATTGCGGAGCAATTTGCGGGTATCAAGCCGCGTTCCAACATGCGCGGCCGCTCCCACTCCTTTGCGGACCTGACCTCCGCGACGATTCCGGATAATGTGCGACTGTCGCCTGCCTATTCGCCGAACTCGCAATTTGGCATCCCAAGCGTGGCCAGATACGTTGAAGGGAGCAGTAACCATGGTGAAAGGAGCTTCTATTCGTCCCCTGTGGCTGGTGTCGTGACTTCAGCTCGTAGCAGCAGTTACACTGAGCCAGCAATGTCCATCGCTAACTGTGGAAGGAGGCCTCCCTCCCCGAAGTTGTCTGAACACTTCAAATCCTTTGCCGGAAATGGACGCGGGGTAAGCCGGCGGGTGACTAGCGTGTGATGACTACGGTACTCGCACTGCCTCATTTCTCTACAGTACTATTGAAAAGCGGGTTCTTCAAGCTTCTTACGAGCAGTCTTCAAGCTTCAACCGTTCGGAGCCTGGAATTGTTTTTGTTTTTGCTTTGCTGGCATGCCTTTTTTTCGTGCTAGAAGGAATATATCCTTCTTAGCATGATGTGGTTGTGTTGATAATGCTGGTGCAGAAATTGGCTCTAGCTCGCTAGGTCTATGGTAGTTGTATTCAAAATAAGTCAGGCTGGTGACGCTCTGCCAGTTTTTTATTTATCAACGAGTCCATTGTTAACGTAAAAGCTGGCCAGAACTCGAGCTCAATAACGTCCCATTCTTAGTTCAACGAACCCATAATAACTTGTCTCATTATGAAATCTGGACTAGATGCTGATGAAGACACCGCACCGCAGCATAGAAAGTATGCTCATGTCACCTCGAACCCTGCACTGCATGCATCGAACGCCACGGGATGGCCGGCCACCCGTGGTCTTTAAGCCTACATAATAGAATGGGGTTTGCTAGACATTGAAAATAAATTTCACAAGTTAACATCCACTTAACAGAACAAATGGCTCGCAGGACCCCACGGTCGCGAACTCACAAGTACTTATCAATGGTGGCTGTGAGGGTAGACTTAGGAACAGCACCAATCACAGTGTCGACCTTCTTCCCCTTTTTGAAGATCATAACGGTGGGAATGCTCCGGATGCCATACTCTGTAGCCACGTTAGGGCTCTCGTCGGTATTCAGCTTGTAGCACTTGAGCTTTCCGTCATACTCCTTCGCGAGCTCATCAATGAGAGGAGCAATCATTCTGCAAGGGCCGCACCATGGAGCCCAGAAGTCGATCAGCACTGGAACATTGCTCTCCAGAACGAGGCTCTTGAAGGTCGCATCGGTCACTGGGCCCGCCACTGCAGACGAAAAAAACAAACAAAAATTAGCCAACCGAGACGTGGGCATCAACGAGTCGTATGAACGACCTAACAATTAACTAACGAACCTTCGGTGCCGGTGGTTTCGCACACAACGCGACCAGAGCGCTTAGACGAGACACGTTGCGAGAGGGAGGCCTTCACAGACTGACGGAGTGAGGTCGCCTTCAGGCCATTGAAGGAGACAATGCTGGTCCTGCTAGACACCTCAACTGACGCGACTGCGGGAGCGCAAATCGCGCCAGAAATGGCAGACTGAGCAATGGCAGCCATTACGCTAGCAGACTGATGTGCGTAGAGTCTACTCTGCAATGCCTGCCTGGAAGTCTGAGTACTCAGATCTAGCAGATAGTGGTCTTCTGGCCTCCCAAGAAACCGAGACTTCTGGAATGGGTCAGTAAAGGAAGGGGAGGGAGTCGAGACACAGAAGGGAGGCAACTCCGACCAGTCACGTGTTGGGGGCATGGAGGGGGACGAGAAGCTACTTTCAGTTGATGCCCTCCACGTATGCATGATCTTGTGGCTAACTTTCCCACGACGGGTTTGGGAGAGGAAGACAGCAGGCTCGATTGCTGGCCACGCAGGCTAGCGATAATGTAGGCCTGCCAGATAGATTCGGTAAAGTGATGGTTTGTGATATCCGAACCAGTTTGCGGTAACCACCCCCCAACCTCCCTCCCCCAAACTATCTGATTCTCTTTGTTGTTCATCGTGCCATTTTTCACGAAAACTGAATCGTCTGTTACCTTGGAGAACGAATTTGCGATCACGTTATTTCGTGAATGCTTATGAAATTTGCGATCACATTATTTCGTGAATGCTTATGAAGTATGCCATGGCATAGGTCTCGCTAGGATGTCACATTTTTCCTATCACACAAATCGCATTATCATCGTGCCCAGCCACTCATCAGACATGGCGCTCACTGCCTGCACCGTGACATGGCCGGCGATCGCTCCAACTGTTGCTGTCTCTGTCGCTCGGTCTGATCGATTGAGCAGTAGTCCCTTCAAGGGAATGGTAAAACAAAACAACCTTTCCGTCAAAAGTCTGTCCAAGCTGGTCGCCGTCAGGGCTAGTGCCTCAACTGACAGTCACGACGCAGACACAGGAGCGACAGCTAACTTGAAGGAGTTTTTAAGCGATTTGAAGAATGTCGGCAGGGCAAGTGTCCAGTGACGGTGCGTGTGTTTTTCGTACACATTTGCCACTTTGTCCCTCGCTAATGTTCATCCCCACATAACATTGCAGGTCCGGCTGATTGTTAACACTGGATTGGGCGTTCTCGAATCGGTCACAACCCTAGATGGGCTTTTTTATCACACTCTTCCAGGCAAAGGCGAGTATGCCAATGTCATCAAGTCAGAGGAGAATGTGGACTTCCACTTGCTGTTGAGCTCGGTTTCTGGGGCGAAGCTGATTACAGGAAAGTCCATGCGAGGAGACTTTCCCACTTACACTGTTCGTTTCTTGAACGCGGAGAAGGAAGTCGGAGCCAGTATCTTCGTCATGTGGAAACCAGGTGCTGATATCTTCTCCGTCATAATTTCCCCGTCCCTGTTGGTCACTCGTTCTTACTTATCCCTGAGGACTCACATTGGTCTCCATTGCACGTGCAGGCACCATGGGTGATTACGACGATGGCCAGGCTGATGCCTACCAGTCACTTGTCAAGAAATACGGTGAGGAGGTATCTTTCACCTCAACTGAATATGATATTTAGTTTCTTAAGGCGACCAACATGGAGCAATTGGTTGATGTTCCTTTCATCCTTGCAAACCTGAAAGATTTCATGGTTCTCAAGAAAATCCTTGTGGGAGCCACTTCATTAAGCGTATTGTATTATTATCTTCAGCTGATTCATTTCGTCTTAAAAGCACTGAATTTGAGTTATGCATCCAACTAGCATTTCACTAACCAAGAGGTGCTGTTTCAGACTTAGTTTTCACAAACAGACGCTAGTACAACGAAATGTCCACTGCCCACAGGGTTATGTTATTTCATTATAAATGATGGTTCACAATGGTCAGGTTACACCAGTTCCATCTACCATGCCCCTGTTTGGAAACCGCAACCACACAGCCTTACATCAGTGTCCGTTTACTCAAGATAAAAGCCTTTCACCTGGACCTCAGGGTGTCCCGTTCTAGACAAAAACAGCCAATGTGTGCAGTGTCGGTCAATCGGGAGAATTAGCGATTTGAGGGATTCCTTCTTGGGAAAGTACATGGCAGCTCCTTATTTTCAGAAATCTCTCAAATTTAGGCCTAAGTTCACTCAAACAGTATGAGTTTGTGGAATTTTGCTCACGCGAGGCCCAGATTATGTTCAAAACTGGTCCTGTGGGGCTTTCCTCTCGACACGTGACCAATTCGCACAAAGAAATTTTGGACGGTGCAGAAAAACGTAATACCCTAGGGAAACCAGGACACTTTTTCGGGAGGGGTCAACCCTAAACACGGGAACCCGCCCGGTGTTTAGGGTTGATCCCTCCCGTAATATGTCCCGTTTCCCTCGGGGTACTATGTTTCGTTTGCCCAGCTCTAAAAATTCTGAAGCGAAATGAACACGTGTCGAAATTTCGGCCCCGCAGGACCAGTTTTGAACATAATCTGGGCCTCGCGTGAGCGAAATTCCACAAAGTTGGACTTTCTGGGTGAACTCGGAACTAAATTCGATATATTTTTGAAAACAAGGAGCTGGGATGTAACGCAAAACTGCGGCAGGCTCCTCCTGAGCCAATGGAGTAACGCAAAACTGAATGACCACGCTGACACCTCCCACCCCCTCGCTCCCTCCCTCCCTTTCTCTTCTCCCGCCTTGATCTCATTTCCCAGACCTCCGCCTTTCTTGAATTGGAATTTGGAAGTTCTTGCGAGCGATGTGGATGCAGTTCGAGGGCCAATGCATATCTCCCCCCAACTGCGGCAGGCTCGTCGCAAGGCGCGCTGTGTCTCCCCCCCTTCTCCCACCCCTCCTCTTTTCCCCCTACTTTCCGCTCATATTTCTTGTTCAAGGCCAGCTCTCTCAGTAGCAGGGCTCAGTCTCAGTAGTAGCAGCACGAAATTATACATGCGATACTGTTAGTTCATTCATTAGTGCAGGTTCCGCCTCATTTGCTGCCTCCATCACTGATCATCGCACCCTGAGTTGTATCCAGCCATAACTTCAGCAGCCCTCCATTCCCAGAATCTCGAGAATCGACTAGTCAAGAAGTGTAGCACATTGATTTTTTCCACGTCTTGGTCACCACAATGGGCCTGCTCTTACCGAATTCAGGGAAAGCAGCCGCTATGTCTCTCGTTCTACTGGTCCTGTCGCTACTGCTGTCAGCGTCCACGACGTCCGGTGCCCTCCCGCGCAAGCTCCAGACGACTGTGATTTACGTAGCTCCTTCGCAGAGTAAGCGCCGTCACATCATTCCATCATCGTCACGTTACACGTCCCCATTGTAGCTTCCCGTGACCATCTCATCACGGCATCCCATTATCGTCACATTGCGCATCACCACGCCGCAGCGGTCATAGTCCTCGAGCAGTGTACTGCACATTTCGTCGTCAGTCGTCTTGCAGTGACCTTGGGGAGTTTTCTGCACGCACACATCCCAAGATCTCAGTCTGCCGAGTTCAAACCAGTTTATGATTCCATCGGCCAGCTATATTCCTTGAGGTGTTATCGAACTGGTGCTCGTCGTAGATGTGCTTGGTCTCCGTTCCCCTCGACCCGTCCCTCCGCCCTCAAGGGCCCTTTTGGCGGCCCTTCGGCGCCGCTTTACTGCTGTTACATCACAGAATCCCATCATCGACACGTTACACGTCCGCATTGCACCATTCCCAGGCCGTGTCCATCGCATCACGTCTCGGCATCCCATTATCGTCACATTACACATCACCACGCCGCAGCGGTCATAGTCCTAGTGCAATGTGCTGGTCATTTCGTCGTCAGTCACTTTGCAGTCACCTCATCGCAAGAGATCATCGTGTCGACTTCAAACCAGTTTAGGATGTCATCCGCCAGCCATATTCTTGAGGTGTTATCGAGCTGGTGCTCGTTGTAGATATGCCTAGTCTCCGCGGCCCTCCACACGTCTCCCCCGGCCCCCTTTTTCCCCCACAAGTGCCGGCGATGATGGAGCCAAAGGCGGCGCTGACGCCGTACATCAACCTCAGGTCGTGAGGCGTGACAGCGTTTCATTCCCCTCCTCCCAAACCACCCGCCACCCCTCCCAACCTCCCCTCGTCCCTCCCCCTCAGTGCCGGCAATGATGGAGCTGAAGGCAGCGCTGACGCCGTACATCAACCTCACGCCGTGGAACGTGTAAAGTCGGCTTCTCAACCCTCTTCTTCCCCGTCCCTCCCTCCCTTCCCCTCCTCGTCCCCCACCCCCTTCCCCTCTCTGACCCCGCGTCCCTCCCCCCTCTCAGTGCCGGCAATGATGGAGCTGAAGGCGGCGCTGACGCCGTACATCAACCTCACGTCGTGGACGGCGACGAACCCCTGCTCCTCGTGGTGGCTCATCACGTGCTGGACCAACGGGCTCGTGCGCCGCATGGACATCAGCTCCAAGGCCATCCAGGGCAACCTGCCATCCGTCATCGGCAACCTCACCAGCCTCGATGAGTTGTGAGCCTCCCTCCCTGCCTGCCTGCCTGCCTGCCTGCTGGCCTGCCTGCACAGCCCTGCCCTTCTCTCTCTCCCACCTTCGTGCGCCGCATGGACATCAGCTCCAAGGCCATCCAGGGCAACCTGCCGTCCGGCATCGGCAACCTCACCAGCCTCGATGAGTTGTGAGCCTCCCTCCCTGCCTGCCTGCCTGCCTGCCTGCTGGCCTGCCTGCACAGCCCTGCCCTTCTCTCTCTCCCACCTTCGTGCGCCGCATGGACATCAGCTCCAAGGCCATCCAGGGCAACCTGCCGTCCGGCATCGGCAACCTCACCAGCCTCGATGGGTTGTCCGTGACTGAGGAGGGTGGGACGGGCGAAGGGCTGGGGAAAGTGAAACGGAGACACAGTGATGTGTTGAGCGAGGCGGACTTTGGGGGATAGTACGACGGGGATGGGCCAGGAGCAGGAAGAGGTGTGAGGGTACGCGATTGTGAGGCAAAGGCAGGGGATGGGGGTGAAAGAAGGGAGACGCATGGGAGGGGAAAGGGGGGGGAGGGGGATCAGGAAGAATGAACGAGGTGGAATGAGGCAGAAAGCAGCGGAAATGGGGATGAATGGGCTGCCAGCAGCCCTGACTAGGCATGTGTGGCTGATTGACCAAACACTTCCTCGATATTCATTAACTCTTGTCTCTCACTTGCCCTTTTCCGTTCAATTCCCTCCGTTCCCCTCTCTTGTCTACCAACGCCAGTTTTGCCACCACAAATTGGCTCAAGGGACCTCTCCCCGACTCGTTCAGTCGACTCACAGCCATCAGGAACCTGTCAGTCCGCACATATCCTGACCATGTACTCCCATGACGCACACCTCTGTCACCTCTGTCGCCTCTGCTAAAATCCTAAGCAGCCCTTGTCCATTCCTGGATTTTTCTGCATATTTGTCTTTGATGCTTTGTTGCTTGGCTCACTGCCCTGCTCGGTTCATCACCACATGGCAGGCAGCTGCTGAAGAACTACTTTGAGGGTCCCATCCCGGATTCATGGGGCAACATGAAGAACCTCCCACCATCCCTCCCTCTCCCTTCCCCTTCCTCTCCTCTTCGTTCCACCTGCAGGCAGCTGTTCAAGAACTACTTCGAGGGTCCTATCCTCGATTCATGGGGCAACATGAAGAACCTCGTGCAGCTGTGAGCTTCCCTTTTTAAGCGTCACTTTATACTGTCATGGCCTCCTGTTTCACGCCATGCCACACCATGACATGCGACGTGCCATACGTGTTCATCTCATGCGATGCCATTCCCTGCCCTGCCCTGCCATATCATGTCATCCCATCCAATGCCATACTACGCTCCAAAGTACGCTATGAGATGTTCTGGCTCTTTGCTGAGCCACGTGAAATGAGGGTGTTTTTGAGACGTCTCAAAAACACTCCCATCCAATGCCATACCCAAAGTACGCTATGAGATGTTCTGGCTCTTTGCTGAGCCACGTGAAATGAGGGTGTTTTTGAGACGTCTCAAAAACACTCCCATCCAATGCCATACCCAAAGTACGCTATGAGATGTTCTGGCTCTTTGCTGAGCCACGTGAAATGAGGGTGTTTTTGAGACGTCTCAAAAACACTCCCATCCAATGCCATACCCAAAGTACGCTATGAGATGTTCTGGCTCTTCGCTGAGCCTATACTACTACATTCGTTATCCCATCCTCTGCCATTGCCTCCTCCCTTTCATCCACTCTCTCCCTGAACAAACCAACCTCCTGTTTGTGCTTCCTTCTATTCCTCCTCCCCTGTGTTGCTCTGCCCTCATCCGCACAGGCACCTTAACCTCAATTACTTTTCCGGCGGGCTGCCCGACAGCTTCTCGCAGCTGACCAACATGCAGAAATTGTGCGTTCTCGAACTTTGACACCCCATGACACCGCACCAGTTGTGATCCGCAAACAGGCTGAAAGGTCAATGCACAGCGCATGTGGCAGCAATGAGCTTGGCAGGCCTCTGCCTTCGTCTGGTGCTAGGCTTTTGGTCATTTTGTGAGTCAAGTCGCTGGTTGAAGGCGCTTCAGTTAGAGCTAGTCTGCTTTGTGCCCCTCACTGTGCTTCTATCCACTCGTAAATTCCATGCATGGCTTTAATCCAATTTGTCAAAGTCTCCTCCGAGTTTTATATTCCTTGCAGGGTATCTCCCTCCGAATGAAACCCTATCATCAGCTCCTCCTTGGCCTCATCTCGTTTCTCTTCCATCTCCCCTTGCAACAGTTACGTGTCCAGCAACCTTCTCAACTCCTCCTTCCCCACAGTCGTCTGCACCATGAAGAACCTGAGGGAGCTGTGAGTATAGCACTTCAAATTTCAACGTGCGAAACTATGTGCTTAGAGCTCCGAGTCACACACTTGCATTCGTTACATCTGTCTGCTGTGACTCACAGCTTGTGAGTAACACATATGATATACGAGTACTACCAGTATAATACCCGTTACTTATTTCTGGCTACCCCAATGTCTACCCTCTTCTGCTTTTCCCTCCTCGTCCATCTTCTCCTCCCTGCACTTCTTCCCTCCCCGTCCTCCACCTGTCCCACCAGTCGCCTCAGCTACAACCACTTCACTGGCTCCGTACCCTCCTGCCTCTGCCAACCCCAATGCCTTTCCTCTTCTGCGTTTCTCCCCTCCTCCATCTTTTCCTCCCTGCACCTCTCACTTCCCTGCCCCCCCTTGCCACACCAGTCGCCTCAGCTACAACCACTTCACTGGCTCCGTACCCTCGTGCCTCAGCCAACTGTCCTACCTCTACTATCTGTACGTTTGGTAGTAGCCTAGTTTTGAGGCGCCTCAAAACTAAATCTGTACGTTTGGTAGCAGCCTCCGTGCATCTTGTTACTTCCCATCGCTCGTCAGACGCCATGACTACCCACATCAGCTACCTTTGATCACTTTGACGCGCTCTTGTCTCCGTCACTCGATACCTCTTTACAATAAACATGCAACTATCCAAACCATCCGTGGAATGGAACACCTCAATGCAATGCAATGCGCCATCTTCTCCTTCCTACTGCAACCCATGCATCTGAGCCTGGCGTGCCCCCGTCCTCTCCCTTCCCCTGCGTAACACACCATCAGCTACATCGACACCAACAAGCTCACAGGCAGTCTCCCGGCCACCATTGGCAACCTGCCTGCCCTGCAGAACTTGTGAGGCCCCTCTCTTGTCAGCCCGCTTCTCACAATCTCCCTCTTTGCGACCCTCCTTCCCCGATAGCCCTCCTGCTGATGCCTTCTCTCCACCACTCGCTTTGCTTATACTCTTCCTGCTACTGTGTGCATCTCAGTGCACTCCTCTTATCCTCCCTTTCCCCAACGCTTCCTGCACTCTGCTCGCAGGTTCATCAATCAGAACAGTCTCAGCGGCCCTCTGCCTCCCACCATCACCAAGCTCACCAACCTGCGCATCCTGTAAGCTTCCACTCCCGTATGCACCTCGTGTTTTAAGGTGCTTCAATCCCATCCACGCACTCATACCCCCTGTTCCCAACTCCTTAACCTGACCCTCCCCATGCATGAACTTCGTGGATCCCTACTTACCCGTTCTGCCAGCCCTCCATTTCCCTCTCATCTCTTCCCATGCCCCAGCATCATCAGTGTCACTTGCATCATCAGTGTCACTTGCATCATCAGTGTCACTTGCATCATCAGTGTCACTTGCATCATCAGTGTCACTTGCATCATCAGTGTCACTTGCATCATCAGTGTCACTTGCATCATCAGTGTCACTTGCATCATCAGTGTCACTTGCATCATCAGTGTCACTTGCATCATCAGTGTCACTTGCATCATCACTGTCGCTTGCATCATCAGTGTCACTTGCATCATCACTGTCGCTTGCATCATCAGTGTCACTTGCATCATCAGTGTCACTTGCATCATCAGTGTCACTTGCATCATCAGTGTCACTTGCATCATCAGTGTCACTTGCATCATCAGTGTCACTTGCATCATCAGTGTCACTTGCATCATCAGTGTCACTTGCATCATCAGTGTCACTTGCATCATCAGTGTCACTTGCATCATCAGTGTCACTTGCATCATCAGTGTCACTTGCATCATCAGTGTCACTTGCATCATCAGTGTCACTTGCATCATCAGTGTCACTTGCATCATCACTGTCGCTTGCATCATCAGTGTCACTTGCATCATCACTGTCGCTTGCATCATCAGTGTCACTTGCATCATCAGTGTCACTTGCATCATCAGTGTCACTTGCATCATCAGTGTCACTTGCATCATCAGTGTCACTTGCATCATCAGTGTCACTTGCATCATCAGTGTCACTTGCATCATCAGTGTCACTTGCATCATCAGTGTCACTTGCATCATCAGTGTCACTTGCATCATCACTGTCGCTTGCATCATCAGTGTCACTTGCATCATCACTGTCGCTTGCATCATCAGTGTCACTTGCATCATCAGTGTCACTTGCATCATCAGTGTCACTTGCATCATCAGTGTCACTTGCATCATCAGTGTCACTTGCATCATCAATGTCATTTGCATCATCAGTGTCACTTGCATCATCAGTGTCACTTGCATCATCAGTGTCACTTGCATCATCAGTGTCACTTGCATCATCATCACCTTCTGTTTATCCCACCTCTCGTTCTCCTTCCTCTTCCTTTTCTCCTCTCTTCCCCAGCCTCCCAGCTTCGTGGATTTCATCTTCCAACCCCCTTCCCCCTCTCTTTTCGCACGCATCAGCTTCATGAGCAGCAACCCCTATCTGGACGGCCCTCTGCCGTCAGACCTCGGCAACATGGCCAGCCTCACAGACTTGTGAGTGTCGAATCATGGCATTGCTATCAAAGGACTCACATCCTGACACATATGCTTCGTCCTTCTGCCATTGGCCTGTTGTTACTCTCCCTCCCCAGCCCCCACCCTCCCATAACCCATTGCTTCTTTCCCGAAGGACCGTGCTCCTGTATGTTCACCTTAGCAGCCTTAAGAGAGCTCTCACCTTCTGTTTCCTTAAAAAGATTCTCACCTTCTGTTTCCTTAAAAAGGTTCTCACCTTCTGTTTCCTTAAAAAGATTCTCACCTTCTGTTTCCTTAAAAAGATTCTCACCTTCTGTTTCCTTAAAACCAGGGTCTCAAGTACCGCAAATGTTTTGCAGTTGATGGTAGGTGCTTGACTGCTATTGGTTGGCGAGGTGCAGAAAATGAAAAGGGGTGCAGCGAGGGGTGCGAGGGAAACTGATTTTCGTTTGTTGTGTCCGAACCTACTAGGCATGGAGTTAGGTTAGGAGCCAAAGCTAAAATGCCAGTGAAATGTCGAGAGCTGCTGAGAGTCACATGTACCTGAAATTTGTTTTGCAATTGGTGCTGGGGCAAAAATAGGGCACTGTCGCACGCTAACTTCCCTAGCCAACCAACCTACTTCGCCCACAAAAACGAGGTAACTCAACTTCAAATGTTTTGCAATCGATCACAGATTCTCTTACTTGAGACCCTGGTTTTAAAAAGATTCTCACCTTCTGTTTCCTTAAAAAGGTTCTCACCTTCTGTTTCCTTAAAAAGATTCTCACCTTCTGTTTCCTTAAAAAGATTCTCACCTTCTGTTTCCTTCTTTTCTCCCCTCCTTTCCCGTGCACCCCTCCCCTCCGCCTCCCTTCCTCCTCCCTCCACTGCCACAGTGTGATGGAGTTTGCAGCCTTCAATGGCACCATGCCTGATTCCATCACCAAGCTCACTCGCCTCTCCCGCATGTAAACCCCCTGCCTGCCTTGCCATGTCCCCTTCGCCCTCCTAATGCTTTCTCTCCATGCTTCTGCATACCACCCCTGCTCGTTCGCCTACTCTTCACCATCATCGCCGCCCCCTATTCCCAGTCCCTGTCCATCGTCCCCTGCTCGGCAACTCTCGATTCCCCTCAGTTCACTCTGCTGCCTCTCTTTCGTTTGCTTACACTTCGTTCCCATTCCCTTTCAATAGTCAGTCTGCTGGACAATTGTCAAATCACGGGCTCCATCCCACCTCCCCTTTCCCTTCACCATCCCCTTCCCCTCCCCACACCTCTCTCACGCCAGTCTGATGGACAACTGTCGCTTCACCGGGTCCATCCCACAGGGCATCAGCAATCTCAAGGCGCTTACCGTGCTGTAAGCCCTTGTTTGCCAGGGTGCTTGTTGATGTGTGTGACCCACCTAGTGTGGTGCTTCTCGTTCCGGGTGGGTGGTTCTCGTTCCGGGTGGGTGGTTCTCGTTCCTGGTGGCTGGATCCCTTAGCTGTGACTCAAGCAGGTTCTGGTGCATGTCAATGCGTACCTGCCCCAACCCCCATGCCCTCGCACCTTGTCTGCTTCAATCCTGCTCTCGACCCTCAAAACACTTCAAACCCACTTACTCTCCCTTCTCTCTCCACGACTCCCCATCCTTTCACTGCCGCACAGAAATTTGTATGCACCAGGCTCAATCTTATTCATCCATGCAAGACGTGTCTCCATGCTCTCGTCACAATCTCCCCCTCTTGGCAAACCTCAACCGCCACAATTGAACCTCACCCTCAACCGCCACAATTGAACCTCACCCTCAACCGCCAGGTATCTGGAAGGCAACCGTTTCCACGGCAGCTTCCCTGCTGGCCTTCTCACTCTACCCAAACTCAACCTGCTGTAAGCCCTCTTACTCACTCACCCTCATTCACAACACTAAATAGCCATGTGGGTGAACCATAAGAACACACGCTTTTGAGTCGACTCAAAAGCAGGTTCACGACACTTAATAACCATGTGGATGAACCATAAGAACACATGCTCTGCTCTGAGCCACAAGATGTTCTCGTTGCCATCACTACATGTTGTGCTTCTCCTAATAAGCTCCTTCCCTCCATTCCTGTTTTTTTTTTCCTCCTCCCGCCTTCCTCCACATCCTTTCCCACTCCCTCTCAAACTCGCGTCAACCTACCTTCCCCACCCCCCTCACCCGCCCTGCATACCCAATCCCACAGCAACTTACATGACAACCAGTTTTCCGGCCCACTCCCCTCGGGCTTCCTCAACTCCACCATAGTAACCGCGGGGCAGATCAACCTTCACCACAACTACTTCAACGGTCCGGCCACCGTCGTTGCCGGCGCCACTCCCTTCTGCCCCAAGGACCAGACTCGCATCGGCGTCTTCTACCAGTCGTCCCTCGCATACAACTGCATCAAGTATCCTGCCACCAGTGCATGCGCACTTGTTCCTAGGATTGAAACCCAGCTTTCGTCCACCACTTGCCAGGCGTTCTGTGGCGCTGACGTGGCGCCGTGTGGCGGGCATGGCACGTGCTGGTTTGGGGTTGGCCGCAGCGTGTCGTGTGACTGTGATCCGGGGTATGTGCCCACCTTAGATGGGCTGTCCTGTGTTGCGGACACCACTGGCGTGGTGGTCTAATGTGGGGTTGTGTGCTTTGCCTGTTGAAGGGTTTGGACATGCCAAAAAGTAGTTGCAGCGCGGCATGTGATTGTGACCCAGGCTATGTGCCGACTTTGGATGGGCTGTCCTGTGTTGCGAACACTGCTGGCTCAGCGGCGTGAGTTAAGAGACGACTTTTGAGGTGCCTCTTAACCGGGAATATGCGCCGACCTAGAATTGGATGCCCTGCATGGCTGATACCGCTGGCTTGGTGGTTTGATGTGGGCTTGTATGCTTTGCCTGTATGGACGATGGCGGCATGGAGGGTGAAGTGCGAAACCCACTCTCTGGATGAGGTAGGTTTGAGAAGTGGGGACCGCTGTTTCGTCTCAATCTGCATGCGTTCTCTTCGGTAATACTAAGCCACTAAAGACAACACTTTAGGCCCTCCAACTATATGCCTGCTTTCTGGGGCATGTCAAGGGGTCATTGGCATTGGGTGAGTGAGTGAGGGGTAGGGTGTGCTTTTTGTCCATTAGATATATCAATACATACGTGGAAAGCTTACACCATTACGGTTCCCACCTGACATTTGCTGTATCGCACTTGACAGTGCCGTACTACATTGAAGTTCCCATTGTTTGCTACTGCAGTACGCGATAACTTGTGGGGCTGTGCGTATGGAAACGGAGCACGTTTGCTGACCCCGCGAAGTCAAATTTACATGTGTTCGGCCCCCTCGAACACCAATGACGTGCGTTCATTCGTTGCAAGTCCTGTAATTCGATATAGGAAGAGCGGCTCGCGGCGCAATGGAGTCTCGAAAGCGAAGCGACTCGCTTCATTCAGCAGCAGGCAATGCCTTGCCCAACAAAACGACAAGGCACAAGCACAGTCAGCTGTCAAGATGCTACAGTACGCGTACGCCCCGCCCGCGGTATGTGCTGGCAATGCACTTATCGTGTAGACCACCCTCCCATCCCACCCACCGTCACGCTCGACTCGAAGGTACTAATGTATACCTCCTACCGCCCAGCATTCCACAACAACACGCCCCAATGGCCGAACCCAGACAATCGATTTACGTTCTCTTAGTAGCCTTCAGCCTCGTCAATGTCGCCGCTAGAGCAGAAGTGACCCTCATGTCAACTGCTGGCCCGAAGTGCGTGAATGCTTTTCCGAAAAGGGCACTTTGCAAGTTCGTGGACAGCCTTACCTCGCGCGTGATCCCCACTCTCGATGGCACGAAGCGGCTCACTATCGGCGTATACCAAATATACCAGGTAAGTCGTGCGCCAGACCATCCGAAATTGACTATCGATGCGGCGCTGCCGATTCAATGTTCTCGTGGAATTGGTGCCTTACAACGGACGCGCGTCGTCGTGCGGTGTGGCAGAAATTCCATCGCGACCTGCCGGCGACGAAGCAATACGCGTACGGCACGAGTCAGAAGACGGCGTCGTACCCCGGCCCCACCATCGTGGCGCGGGTGGGCATCGACACGACGGTGACGTGGGAGAACCACCTGCTCGACAACACACACATGTTCACCGTCGATCGCACCGTCATGATGGGCGTCAAACTCCCCAAGAAGGGCATCCCCATCGGTAAGAGCGCTCTTAACCGTAAAACATTCCCCCATTGGTACCTCCCGAACGGCACCCTGATCGACAACACGCACATGTTCACCGTCGATCGCACCGTCATGATGGGCGTCAAACTCTTTAAGAAGGGCATCCCCATCGGTAAAGAGCATATCTCATGATTGCTAAAAGAGCTCTCCTTCTATTAGCTTTGATTCGCCTCAAACAACCATCCCAAAAATGTCGAACGCTCTTTTAGTAGGCGTAACTGGTGGACTCGTTTAGTAAGGAAATGGGTGTGATCTTTTGCTTACCAAAACACTACCAAACAGTATGCTTTAGTGAGATTCCCATTTTATGTATAGCATTTCTATAACACTGCTTTGCCTTTTGAAATATTTTTTTGTACTTCATAAAATTAATCGTTCACAACAATATTTATGCGGAAGGTCACGGGATCGATGCTTGCCAGGTGCAGAATTGCGTTTCCCTAAAGTGAAATTGCGAAGACAAAATCAAATTCAGTTCTCATCACTTCGCGAGACTCGAACTCTTGACCTCCAGATTCACACGACACACTAACCACTACGCTAACCAGCTTTGTTGTTGGGTCTAAATGAATTTTATTTTAAATAACGCGCGACTTCACGTCTCTCGCTCCACATGTTGCCATCTGTTGCCACCTGTCACATCACCTGCCACACAAACAGCTTCCTGTACAGATTGGCTTCATTCGAACTGGGGTTTTCAGTTGACAACGCACGGTTTTCGAAACTGCACGCCAAATGCGCAGTTTCATCGCTTCTGGGGCAGGGTTACTGCCCGTTTTTCGTTTACAGCGCAGAGTTTGTGCGATTTCTACGCAGCTCGACGCTCATTCGTCTAAATATCCGAAAACGACAAGCCTGCAATGTAACAGAAAATTTATTTAACTCAGTCAGGTGTTTCAAAATTTTCACGCCCATATAGAGAGTGCATCAATCCTAAACATCCAGTCGCGTGGAGTTTAGGGTTGATGCTCCCTCGACGGCAGCCATTAAAATATATATTTATATATATATATTTAAAAATCGTGACAAAGGGAATCAGCCCTGAACACTTTCGGCCAATGTTTAGGGTTGATGCTCCCTAAACACTTCCGCCCGGTGTTTAGGGTTGATGCTCCCTAAACACCCCGCCCGGTGTTTAGGGTTGATGCTCCCTGAACAGCATGCCATCCGACAGGGTAATATATTTTCGTCTGCCCAAAATTCAGGTGCAAACAGTTCGATGGCCGTCAATCCAACCGGAGTTGTCGGTCCGTCAACATTTTGACCAATGAAATCTTTACTGCGTAGAAATCTCACTAACTATGCGCTGTGATCGAAAACTGGGCACTAACAGTGCGCCAGAAGCGACAATGCTGCGCTTTTTTCGTATATTTTCAGTAACAGTGCGGGATTAACTAAAAACCCTTCGAACTGCTAATCCCCACACAATCACCCAACCACCTACCCAAACTTGTTGTCTATAACCCCTGCTACGTCCTCACTTCTACTTATTCCTTCACAATTTCTGGATACTTCCACAGCTCCCTCCTGTCTTCACTTTGCATCTAGATGCTCTGTTTCTTAGTCTAGTTTTTAAGTTTCCTTAGTCCTGCAATGCGCCAGCCTGCACGAACGTCTTCTCTACTAGACACACTCGGACCGCGGTGCGTTTCGCGCGGCTATGATTCAGCTGCGCCCTCGTTCCGCCCTCGTCCACTCTGTTTCCGCCTTCGTCCCGCTAACTTCTTGCCTTTGACCAGCAATCCACTCGCTCTGGCATAGGCGCCTGCACTCGCCACCTGCCCTCCGTCGTACTGGTCGATCCGTTTTTTTTCCCACATCGTCGCATGTTGTCGTTTGCTGTCGCGCGATGTCGCATGCGCGCCGTACTCGAATTGGAACGTGACGGCAGGAATCAACATCGTAGCTGATAATCCCGTCCAGTTTCTTCCTCCCCCCGTAATTGTAAGTCATTTTCTCTTTTCATTTCCTCACCTATTGTCTCATTATTTGTTCTACTAACTGCCTTTCGTGAACATGCCACCTGCAGGTACTGTGGCGACTGCGATTGCGGCTTCGTTGGTTGCGCAGCGTGCCATTTATTACCCGACATACAGGCTTACTGGCGTTTTAATGAAAGCATCAAGGTACGATTTTCAAAATAACAGTTGGTGCTAACCCTCTGTGTGAATGCTTGTGGCAGATGTGTTGGACTTGTATAACTGGTTGGACATACGCTGAATCCTGCCACTGTCTCGTGCATGTTCGTCTGTTTGCCTTAATGTATGTCCTGGCTGTATGTAAATGCTAATGTATAAAATATTTGCACTCCAAGAACCACGTCGCGCTTATACTGTGTGAACGTCAAAATTAGCTAGGAGCGGAACAAGGAAAGTAAGGCTACCATACATAATGAAAATGGTAAGGATAAGGGGTAGAAACTGTATGTTGTTCTTAGGTGTTTGTAGACCAAACATTACCCTGAAGCTATACGTTAGATACACATTCGTTAGCCTTCTGTGCCTTACTAAATGTTATACAAACTGAGCTTCCCAAAAACCTACGCAGCTTTCTACTATTTAGGTCTAAAATGTCATCCCAAAACCATACCAAATAGCATACGTCTGTTATGTATCTAGTATGTCAAACGGTCCGCTATTTTTGAGATGACACGCACATGTTCATCGTTGACCTACGCTCTCACGTCTTCACCAGGGGTACAAGCTTTCCCAATAAGGGTGCATTCCTGTGTAGACACAAATGTCTCAATGCACTATTTTCCGAGTCGCGTCTACACAGTTTTTCAATGTCGCGTCTCAAACGTTGGATGTATCGCGACAAAAGGCGATCAGGCGAAAAAAACAGTTGTGCGCATCTGATTGGTTTTCCGAAATGACTGTACACCAGTCTCGTCAAATGATTGGCTGGGGTGTGGTTGTGACGCGCGGATTCTTTTCCCGCGCGGAATTGTCATTGTCGAGGGGTCCAAATACATTGACATTTCGGACCGCGGGCGACTTTCCGTAATTGACGGGTCAATTTACAACTCGTCCGCGACGTTAGCGCGTTTCACGCTGACCAATTAAAAATACAGTACATGTCGCAGAAACACGACTCGCAATTGTGACACAATACAGTATAGGCTGTTTTTGGGTGTCACAAAGTGATTGAGACATTTGTGTCTACACAGGAATGCACCCTAAAAGGCATCTCGATCGGTAAGCACTTGTCACCAGAACCATCTGCTAAACAGCACGCATATGTTCACTAACAACCCACATGGGCTATAAGTTTCCGAAGCGCGGCATTCCCATAGGTAAAAGCGCTACTATGTCACTTCATTTCATCAAATCCGCCCGTCCTTCTCTCCAAAGGCATTGCTGCCTACTCTCAGCTTCACGCCACACGTGTGATCCCCTTTTATGGCAGTGGTTCACCGCCACGGCGGCTCTCAGCAGAGCTTCTACGACGGCCACCCTTTCGCATGGTTCACGCAATACGGCGAGAAAGGCCCGACCTATTATTCCAACAAGTACAAGTACGTGAACGACGAGGCGTCGACGGTGTGGTACCACGACCACATGGTGGGCATGACGCGGCTGAACGTGGCGGCGGGCATGGCGGGACTGTACATTATCACGGACCCCAAGGCCGAGTCCAAGTTCACCTGGTTACCACCTCCCAGTCGTACGATTCCGCTCGCCATCGCGGATCGGCTCTTCTTCGCGAATGGGTCGATCAATTATCCGAACGTGGGCATTGTGCCGAACGTGCATCCCAACTGGATTCCCGAGTACCTCGGCAACACTAACATGGTCAACGGCGTGGTGAGTCTAACGAGCGTTGAGTGGTGGTGCTCCTCTACTAGAGTCTAGTAGCCTACTGAGAAGTTCTTAACCACAAGAGGCAAATCAAAAGTGCTGCTTCGTGTGTGTCATACCCGCGCGTTGCGCAGGTCTGGCCGTACCTCAAGGTTCGTCCGGCGCTTTACCGACTCAAGGTGCTGGGCGCGTCCAGCGCGCGCTTCTACGACCTCAAGTTCGTTTGCGCGCAGCGCAGCGATTATCCCAACTTTGTGCCGCCGCTCAAGGGCAAGGTTCTCCAGATGATCGAGGTAAATCATGAATTGTGCTCTCATCTCCCAATGAATGGTACAATTCACGGTCGACATTTCCGTAACCAGAATCACTTCGTTTTTCATGTTAGAAGGGCGAGTTTCTGTGTCGCTAATGTTTTGATCTTTGTTCGTTCTCCCTCGCAGATCGCTAGCGATGGTGGTTACCACGAGAAGCCCGTATACATGAATTCGCTCCTCCTCACCCCCGGGCTCGCCACGACATTCTCGTGGATTTCTCAAACCTCCCGTCGTCATGCAAAGACGTCATTCTCCAAAACACTGCTCCTGCGCCTTACCCGGCCGGTATTGCCGCAGACTGGGACACCGGGCTTGTCATGCGCCTCGTGATCACCAATCGCAAACGCTTCCCTGCCCCCAAAATCCCCAACCGGATCTCGGTAAGTCATTCTGGTAAATCGGGTGACTGATTTCTATTGTGTCCCCTTCTTCCCAACGGCATTACCTTATATATACCTTATACACATGTGTATATACATATATCTATATCGTCATTCTCATTTAATCTCCCCTCTTCTCCCCGTTGCTGCTTCCTGTGCAGTACATTCCTAGGATAAACTTTAGGGACATCCAGAGGGTGCGATGGCACCGCCTGGTGGAAGAAATGGATCGGAAAACGAACCTCCCCATCCGCGTCACCATTGATAACCTAGGCTTTACCGACCCTGTCAGGGACTACCCGAAGCAAGGCACGAACGAGATATGGCACATCATCAACCTCTCGGCCGATGCACATCCGTTCCACATCCATTTGATTGACCACCGTCCGATCGCCCGCCGCTCGTTCGACGTGGCGGGTTTCCAAGCTGGCAGGTGCTCGTTCCGCAAATCGAATAAAAAGCCTGCATGTTGGACGAGTGGCAGGATCCCTGTTGATCCGACTGAGAGGGGGTGGAAGGACACAACCCCCGCGTATCCCGGCCAGGTGCTCACGCTGTGGGTTGGCTGGAAGGACAACAACGGAAGGCCGCTTCAATTTGACGCATCTGTCGGGCCGGGTTATGTGTACCATTGCCACATGCTGGAGCACGAGGATAATGACATGATGCGGCCATTCAAGATTGTGCCGAATGCTCGCACTGAGTGATCGTGATGAATGGTCGCTGATAAACTGACATTCAGCGAGCTAGCGTCACGAGTAGGGACTGTGTGTAGGTGGGTCTTGTGTTGCTAACAAGGATTGCTGATCAGGAATCTAGTAAGATGCGTTCATTGCTGGAATTAGAGGTAGGTCGCTTATCCATGGGATAACTGACGGGAATTGACCAACGGGACCTGACTTACCTCATTGTCTGCTCCTGACGGAGTGAGCTAACTTATGTGTTCGTGTATGTAAATTGCGACATTGCTGCCAGCCATATTGAGCTATTGCGATGTGATGTCGTTTATAGTAGTAGCTTATTAAATAGATTACAAAATGCATACAACAATTCTACTGCCATGGTTATTGCTTCTCTCCAGAAGAGGGGTCAAGACGTTGTACGCCAGGTTAAGCATATAGAGATGCCATATTAGTTATTGCTTGCGTATCTTTAACGGCCGCATCATGTCATTATCCTCATGGTCGAGAATGTGGCAATGCCACACGTATCCCGGCCCAGAGGTAGGATCAAACTCAAATGGCTTGCCATCCTGTTGTATGATTGTTGCAGGTGCCAGGTAGGGGTGCACACAGAGGTGGAAATGAAGGAGAAAGTGTTGAATTGCACAATATAAGGAGAGGGTATGGGGGTGGACCAAGCACCAGGATTTGAGTGCACAACAGGATTCCATCCTGTATGGGGGTATGGGGTTGGACCAAGTACCGTACCGAGGCAATGAGCTCACCTGGCCATACCAGCCGACCCAAAACGTGAGAACTTGACCCGGAAGCGCAGGCACCGTGTCCTTCCACCCAATCTCGTGCTTCTGTGCCTTCATCTCCGGTCCCACGTAGCAAGACGGCTTGTTCTTGCTGGTGAAGGAGCACTTGTTCGCCTGGTATGACTTGATGTCGAAAGCGCGACGCGAAACAACCCGGAATTGCACCAAGTGCAAGTGAATAGGGTGTGCATCGGCCGAGAGGTTGATGATGTGCCAGATCTCGTTAGTGCCTTGCACAGGGATTTCTGTGACTGGGTCCATATAACGAAGCCCGTCTATAGTGGCTCGCTCTGGCATGCCGCTATTAGGGTTGATCGTCTCCACTAGCTTCTTCCAGCGTACTCTGTGGATCTTGGAGAAGTCTATAGAGGGGACAGGCTGGAAGGAATATGTTGGACAGGGGAGAGTAAGGTGAGTGGAGTGAGTGGCCGTTTCTTGGGTTCTGTTATTTCAAAGATAAGAATGGGATGCATATGAGGGGACGCAAGTGCAGGAGAGAGTGGGACCTCTCGACGTATCTCAAAAGCCAGTTTGCAAGGAGGGAGGAAAACGGCAAGGATCGTACAACGAGTCTCCTGGGTATCGCTGGTGCCTTGAAGGGCGGGCGGTCGAGAATCACAAACCGCATCACCACGCCCGTATTCCTATCCACCGCCTCACCCCCCGGAAACGGGGCCGCAGCATCGTTCGTTAGAATCACATCCCTGCACGCGCCGCCCTGCTGCGCCGCGGCAAAGTCAACGAGAATATCGTATCTCTCTCCAGGCGCCAGCAGAAGAGAGGAGTGAAACACGGGGCGCTGCAGGTACCCCCCATCGCTGCCAATGAGCGCGAAATTGATGACGTTTCCGCGGAGCGGGGGGACGAAGTTGGGGTAATCCCCGCGCGCGGCGCACTGGAAGCGGAGGTTGAAGAAGCGCGCGTTGGCGGCGCCGAGGAGGAGGAAGCGGTACACCGCGGGCCGCACGCGCAGGTACGGCCAAACCACGCCGTTCACCACGATCGTATCGCCTATGTACTCGGGAATCCAATTAGGATGCACTTTAGGATCGACGCCCACGTTGGGGAAATTAATAGACCCGTTCTTGAAAAACAGGCGGTCCGCGATCGCCAGCGGCACGGTGCGCTTCCAGGGAGGGAGCCATTTCTTCATGTCCCGCTCATCTCCGTTAGGGTCGGTTTTGATATAGAAACCCGCCATTCCCGCTACAGTGTTGAGGCGCGTCCACGCGAGTGTGTGGTCGTGATACCACGTGAGGGAGGCCGGCTGCTGGTTGCGATACTCGTAGGTGACGCAGGCGGAAGAGGAGGAGGAGGAGGGCGAGGAGGAAGAGGGGGAGGAAGAGGAGGAGTACGAGGAGGAGTACGAGGAGTTGGGGGAGTGTGAGGAGTGGGAGGAGGAGGAGGAGGCGAAGGTGGGTCCGTGTTCACCGAACTGCGTGAACCATGCGAGCGGGTGCCCGTCGTACATGCTCATCGTCTCGCCGCCGTGGTGGTGGGGCACTGGGGGAGGCGAGGGGGGAGGGAAAGGGGGAAGGAAAGGGGGAAGGAAAGGGGGAAGGAAGTAAAGGGCGGACAGACAGTCGGACAGGCGGGCAGAGTCGACTCAAACTAAACACTCTTACCAGTGGGAACGCTTTCGTTTAGAGTTAACTCGAAGGCACTCACCCGTGGGAACGCCTCCCTGTTTCGGCTTGGGCATTTCTTTCATGAGCGTGTAGTCCTGCTTGAACATGTGCTGCCGGTCCTGCAGCCGGTTGCACCAGGTAACCCGCGTGGTAACCCCCTTTTTCGCCACGATCGTCGGCCCAGGGTACGACGCGGTCTTCTCGTTCGTGCCGTACGCGTAGATCTTCGTCGCGGGCAGGTCGCGGTGAAATTTCTGCGCGTATAGTCACACACAGGCGCACGTAAGGCCGTTTTCTACAGTCGTTTAGTGTCACAATCATGCCACCGGTGCGCGTTCACTGTGAAGCATGAACTCCTTCACTTAGCCACACGTGAATCACCCATTCGATTGAGGGGGAAAGGCGAAAATATGTTTGTTTTTTGTATTGTGTTCTGTTAGTTATTTCCGAAGGGGAAGGACCGAGTACAACAGTGACACAGAATAACTACTCCCTGTGCCGAAATTGAGCCGCACCTGGTACGTCTGGTAAACGCCGATGGACAGCGTCTTGCCGGAGCCGCCGTCCAACACGGGGATGGCGCGCGACGCGAGGCTGTCGACGAACTTGCAGAGCGGCTTCGCGGGAAACGCGTTCACGCAGCGGGGGCCCGCTATCGACTCCACCTTCACCGCGTTTAGCGCGCGCCGCAATTCGCTGTGCGACTCGGGCGACGGAGAGGGTTCCACCTCCACCGTCGTCAACGCGCGCGCGGAACGGAAGCGCGGGAGAAACGAGTGGCCATGAGCAGTTGACACGCAAGTTGCGGACAGCAGGAGCGCCGCGATTGCGACGCCCCGGAAGGCGAGCGCAGCGGCGGCACACATGGGAGCGCGCATGAGAGCGCGCCTTTGCGACAGGCGCTTTATGCAAGCTTGTCGCATGGGCGCAACTTCTGAGATCTACAGGGTAGCGGAGGGTGAGACCGGGCAGCAGCGTAAAAACCCTCTGTACGGTGTGGCAGCGCTCTGCAAGAGCTTCTAATTATTATGTCGGGACAACGTTCAAGAGAGTTCTCCGCAGCACAGGAAATACGTCGAGGGAGTTCTTCTACTGCGTTGACTCAAAAGTTTACTAACTGTGAGGTTTCCGAGTCGATGTGAAGCCAGAAAACAAAGAGGTTGTACCTGTTGTACGAGAAAGCTAGAGGATGACGCAGAGGATAACTACGAGATAATCGCTAGAGGATGATGCGGTATCCAGCAAGCCAGCTGGCCCTAAAGGAGAGAGCGGCAAGGGTGGCAGGATGATAAGCAAGTCACTTGGGCGCGACTGCGAGAAATAGGGCATGGTTAGCAAGCTTTTGCTCGCGGCTTTCGATGGGATATCGCTGTGCAGCAAAAAGGACGTTCCGTGCGGCCCGCCGTGGCAAGTACGAGGTAATAGCGACAGCCTTCCACCTGTCCAGACGCTGTTGCGTTGGTAAAAGCGGGTTCATTGAGTCAACTACTATACTGTTTTTTTGGCGCAAGCCAAACCGTGATGAGTATTAGTTAGTGGAGCGAAGCGCATGTGAAGTAAAGGGGACAGGTCACTGTAACCTCAGCGCCTCCAGCGCAGTCGGGGATTGCATGCAAAGAAATTACGAGATTTCAGTACGGTGATGGGCTGTGCTCCTGATGTTTTGTCTACTTATTGCTCGGTTTTGTTGGGTTCGCAGGGATGTCGACAAAAATATGAGTCAATTCCGAACTGCATTGCACGGCTCGTGTGCTGCATTCGCGCTTCGGAATGCCCTTCATCCCGTAAACGCGCTGCGTATTGGTGTTCTCCGAGACACCGTCCGCCACACATTACGCGTCGCTGCCCTTCCCAGCCCCACTTTCAGTGACGAAGTCTGTCTGCAGCTTATCGTGAACATCCCCCAGTCGTAGATCGCCATGCTGGCATTATAATTTCTCTCAAGCCTTGATGCAGGGAATCGTGCTTGAACGATATTGACCTGCTGTTCTTCGCCTTCTTAAGATTTCGCCACAAACCCAGATACCCGAAGAGTGCGTTCTCGTCGTTCTTCGCAGAATAACTCTTATCGTCAACGTGTTCACTAATCACCGACCACGGCTCGCCGAATACGCGCTACCAACACAGTAGCCATCATTGGACATAGCATAACACTTGAATAAACACCTTAATTGCACTAATAAAAAATGAATACAATCGCCTACCTACCATGCTTGTGTATGGCAGCACGAGGTAGCTGCTTCAAAACATGCAGCCTTGCATTAGCTAAAACCTCCAAAAGGTCTCTACCTGCCACCCATGTCGTACTCTTGTCTCGGATACACTTCAAGCAGTCTTTCTTCCTCCAGCATACTTCGTCTTTCGTATCCTTGTAACCTCCCCGCCAAAAGCAATTTTCCATGAAGAATGCATTGTAGCGAAACTGGTTTTGCCAGGCCATGTAGTGTATCCCAGAGCGGAGTGCAAGTTTCTTGTGCTGCGTGCTGAAGAGCTTGTAGGGGAAGAGCTCCACTAGGACAGCGCCACGTGGAAGGAAGAAGAGTGAGGTGGAGAGGATAAGGTCGTGGACTGCTACAAGGACGAGCGTGCGCTGAGAGGGAAATGAAAGGGAGGGTTGCGGGGAGGGAGGGGAAGTGGGGTGGGGTTGGCATTGGGAATGGGGGGGTTGTGGGATGGGGGTGCATCAGAGTGAGTGAGTGGGGGTGCAGGGGTCGAGGAAATGGGTAGGTGTGGTGTGGGGAGGTTTTGAGGATAAGGGAGCAAGAGGGGATGGATAGACTTGGTGTGCCTTGGACAGGAAATTCTAGAAACAACCCCATAAGCAAGTCAATCCATATTGTGTGGGAGTACAGTGCACATTGCACGAAGCTTGCTCACCTTCATTATTGTCACTTGGTCATACAGTGACATGTTGCCAAGTCGCACTATCGCTACCGACAGCTCTGGAAAGACCTCTTGAATCAGAGCCACCACCTCCTGCTGGTTCTTCAACCCCTCCACATTGTCACGCTCCACTACAGTCACCTGCCACGAACCCTTTCCCGTGCTGCCTGTCAACCTGCCCGACTCATCCCGATCAGGCAGCAGGTAAAGCAGTTGTTGTGTGGGAACCACCAGTCGCAAAGCTCCTGTGGACGCGGGAGGAGACGCCTCAGTTCCAGAGGCACCAGCCCCAGCACTAGCAAGGCTAGTTAGAGCGGGATTGGGGGTGGTGGGGAAGTTGGTATCAGTGGGGAGGCGGCGACGGTGACTGTCAATGTCACTGTCGAGGGCATGGGCATGGGTGTCGCTATGCTGCTCCACGTACTGGTCCACGTAGTGAGGTGACTTTTGAGTCGACTCAAAAGTCTGCTCCTGGTACTGGTCTGCATAGTCATCTACCTCCTGCCTCGCCATTGCTTCAGCATCTGCCACTGGATCCTCCTCTTCCTTCCCCTCCTCTTCCTTACCCTTCTCTTCCTTCCCCTCCTCTCCTCCCAATATCTTTTCCTCCTCCGTTCTCACGTTCTCTTGCTCTGCTGCTTCGTTTTTCCCGTCCGCTCTGCCTCGCCATTTCGCCCCAATGCCCTGCTGCTTCTGCCCTGCTCCCTGACGTGGTCTTGAACCCACGACCGTGCGCCTTCCTGCTCCCCCTACTCCTGCAGCTCCTGTTCCTCCTCCTTCTGCTACTTCTCCTGCCGCTCCTACCTCTCCAGCTGCTGCTGCTGCTGCTGCTGCAGCAGCAGCAGCAGCAGCAGGCCAGGGGATTTGCCAGAGCAGCTGCCCGGCGCTTGTCACCCAATGGAAGGGCAGCAACACCTACAGCCAACCTCTCCTCTGGAGACGCATGGATGGCAAGCTTTGGCGGTATTCTCCTCTCATAAACCCCCAGTAACACTCGTGATTCTGACCCATTTCCATAGTTACCAACTCCACCCACCCGCTCCCCTCTCTCCATAACTCCACCTGCACCCTCCTGCAGTATTGAGGGGCCTCTCCTCCCTGTGCTGCCAACAGCTTCAGATGTCATGGCTTGTAGCAAAACAGCCTGTATCGAGTTGGCTTGTGACGTGAGCGTGAGAGCAGGTGCTAGGGAGGAGGCCTGAGCGTCTTGGAGAGAGGTGCCTGGAAGGACTTGGATGGTTGGGATGGTTGGGGTGCCTGGGGGCGGTTCAGTGTTTGACTGGGTGGGTTGAGGGGTGTGGAGAGCGGCTGCTGGGGTCTGAGTGGCCTGAGAAGTCCGAGTAGTGACCTTGGTGTCCATGGCTTGAGATGCTTGAGATTCCTGAAAGGCTGGGGAGGTGCGGCGGCGGGTGAGGTCGGCGCTGTGCGGGCGGTGCAGCTTGTTAATGGGGAGCAGTAGGTTTTGGAAACACACCTGGTGGGACGATCAGGGGGGAGTGGAAGCGTGGAATGGGGAGGGGAGAAGTTGCGGCGAAGGTTGAGAGGATGGGTGGTGTATCATGCTGATAGGGAGCAGAGGGTTCTAGAAACCCACCTGGTGAGGTGCAGGGAGGAAGGAAAAGAGGGTGGATGAACTTTCCTTTACTTTCAGCACGACACGCTGTGCCGCTCTCCGCCAGGAAGAACTTAGACAATGCTTCTCAGCAAAGGAGAAAAGATTACGGAGATAAGAGAGCAGAAGAAAAATGTGCATGGTGTGTCTCACCTTCTGGCCTGCAACTCTCCCTGCCTCCACCCGAGTGGATTCGCCAAAGAGCAGGCGGGCAGCATGCACAGTCCAGTGGGAGCGAATGGAGTCATCTCCGGGGAAGAAAAGCACCACCCCCTCATCTCCCCGCCTCCGCTGCTCCCCGCCCTGCTCCCTCTTCTGCTCCCCTCCCTGCTGCACCCGCCCCTCCTGCTTCACCTGCCATTCCTCTCCACGCTGCTGCTGACCCAACTGCGCTGTGCTCGCCTGTAGCCCCAACGACCCCTCCAGGTGCCCCGCCACCTCCATGAGAGGCACCAGCGCGCGCCCAAACTCGCCCACAGCCGACCCATACCGCGCCACCACGCCCACACGCACCCCCCTCCCCCTCATCCCCCGCACTAACCTCTCCCTGCTCCGCCCCTCACTTACCCCGACATATCGGGTCATACCCAGGTGGTTAGTCAGCCGCCCGTAGGTGTGCAGGGAGCGGCGTTTGAGGTCCGAGAGGTCTACAGGGGGCTGCTCGTCGGGCTCCTGGGCGAATCCGTCTGCTAGGTTGTCCATGGCTGTGTGCCGGGGCTGCAGAGGGTGCATCTGGGGGAGGTGGTATTTGCTTCTGCTGCTAACGCTGGCACTGCTGCTGCTGCTGCTGCTGCTGTGGTGGAAGTGGTGGTGTTGGCAGCGCTGCTGCGGCTGCTGCTGTGGGATTGCTGTGTGCGCACCCGCCGTCTGTGGCGTTTGCTGGACCCCCATAATCCCAGCAGCTTCCTCCGCGCACTCACCGCTTCCACCACCTTGCTTGCACTCACCTCTTCCACCACCTTGCTTGCACTCACCGCTTCCACCACCTTGCTTGCACTATCCCTCCCACCTCCTCTCGCACTCCACCCACCCTTCCCGCTCGCCTTGCCTCCCTTCTGACCCGCTTCAACCCTCTCTCTTTCTCTTCCACCACACCACCACCACCACCACCACCACCACCACCACCACCACCACCACCACCACCACCACCACCTGCTGTCATATATCTCCCGGCCCTCTCACCAACCTGTCCCCCCTGCGCCTTCACGCCTATCCCTGGGGGCGTCCAGTCATCACTGGGGTCTCTCAACCTCACCACCTCCACCAGCGGCGCATCAGAAGCTTCTGGAGCGTCTAGAGCGTCCAGCGAATACCCCAGTCCGTTGTCCCCTGCAGACTGGTCTGGGATCACATGGTGCTTCGTCCATGTGACCTTGCTGCTCCTGCCCTTGTTCCTGCTTGTTCCGCTGCCCCCGTTGCGGCTGCTGCCTTGCTGCGTGCTAGTCTCCCCTCCTGCTGCATCATCCAGGAGCATATCTGCGCCAGCACCACCAGAAGCAGTTGCAGCATTGGCATCACCATGAGCAGCAGCAGCAGCAGCAGCAGCCAAGACCGCCTTGCGCTTCCTCACTGCTGCAGCATGCAGCCGAGCAACCTCCTTCACATCCTCCTCACTCATCCCTCCACCCTCCCCTCCTGCTCCCATCTCCTCCCCTCCTGCCCCTACCTCCCCTTCTGCTCCCCCACCTGCTCGCCCTGCTCCCCTCCCCTTCCCCTTGCTCTTCCAAAACGCTTGCCTGTCCTTACCTCTCCCTTCCATCCCCCCTCTCTCCTCTCCTCTCCCCCTGTCCCCTGCTTCCCTCCTCTCCCTCTTCACCCCGTTCCCATGAACAGCCTCTCTCTGGAGGGCCGCTGCCAGCTCATGCCAGCTCAGCTCCAGCCAGGACTCGTACAGCGCGTCTGCCAGCCTGTCACTGTACAGGTGGCACACGTTGCCGACAATGGATATCTGTGAAAGGTCGCGGGTTCGATCCCTGGCGAACCAGATCCCCGTGTGGGGCTGGTGGTGCTTTGACTTGCCTGGGGTGGAACAGAAGATTTGTGGGAATGGTGAGGGAGAGAGAAGGTTGCACAGAAACAACGAGTTCTGAGTTTACTCACAAGTCATCTCGAGAGACGGGGGGGGGGGGGGTACCCGTCACCTTGCATGAAAGAGGCAGCAGGCGGGGAGGGGAGGAGCCGCTACCTTGCATGAAGAGGTAGCAGGCGTCCTGTATGAGCAGCACACAGGCGAAGTCCGTGGGCTGCTGCAGCAGATACACGCCTGGCTGGGACGAGTATGGCTGCACGTGCCACCTGCTCATCTGCACGGCGGCACAGGGGTGAGGGACGGGGACAGGAGGTGGGGAGCATTCGTTTGAGCGGATAGGAGGCACAGGGTGAGCGGCAGTGAGGTGTATAGGGGCGAAAGGCAGGGCCTTGCTGGCAGGGCCTTGCTGGCAGGGCGGTGGAGAAAAACGAGGATTGAAGATGGTGAGAGGGGCGGGGTGTACGACAGAAAGAAGTGCGGTACTGCAGGTTGCTAGGACGGGCGAGAGGAAAGTGCAAGTGTTTAGAGCGAGTGTGCTCATGGGAGTGTGCTCATGGGAGTGTGCTCATGGGAGTGTGCTCATGGCAGTGTGGTCATGGGAGTGTGGTCATGGGAGTGTGGTCATGGGAGTGTGGTCATGGGAGTGTGGTCATGGGAGTGTGGTCATGGGAGTGTGGTCATGGGAGTGTGCTCATGGGAGTGTGCTCATGGGAGTGTGGTCATGGGAGTGTGGTCATGGGAGTGTGGTCATGGGAGTGTGGTCATGGGAGTGTGGTCATGGGAGTGTGGTCATGGGAGTGTGGTCATGGGAGTGTGGTCATGGGAGTGTGGTCATGGGAGTGTGCTCATGGGAGTGTGGTCATGGGAGTGTGCTCATGGGAGTGTGCTCATGGGAGTGTGCTCATGGGAGTGTGGTCATGGGAGTGTGGTCATGGGAGTGTGGTCATGGGAGTGTGGTCATGGGAGTGTGGTCATGGGAGTGTGCTCATGGGAGTGTGCTCACGGGAGTGTGGTCATGGGAGTGTGCTCATGGGAGTGTGCTCATGGGAGTGTGGTCATGGGAGTGTGCTCATGGGAGTGTGGTCATGGGAGTGTGGTCATGGGAGTGTGCTCATGGGAGTGTGCTCATGGGAGTGTGGTCATGGGAGTGTGCTCATGGGAGTGTGCTCATGGGAGTGTGCTCATGGGAGTGTGCTCATGGGAGTGTGCTCATGGGAGTGTGCTCATGGGAGTGTGCTCATGGGAGTGTGCTCATGGGAGTGTGCTCATGGGAGTGTGCTCATGGGAGTGTACTCATGGGAGTGTGGTCATGGGAGTGTGGTTATGGGAGTGTGGTCATGGGAGTGTGGTCATGGGAGTGTGCTCATGGGAGTGTGCTCACGGGAGTGTGGTCATGGGAGTATGCTCATGGGAGTGTGGTCATGGGAGTGTGGTCATGGGAGTGTGCTCATGGGAGTGTGGTCATGGGAGTGTGCTCATGGGAGTGTGGTCATGGGAGTGTGCTCATCGGAGTGTGGTCATGGGAGTGTGCTCATGGGAGTGTGCTCATGGGAGTGTGGTCATGGGAGTGTGCTCATGGGAGTGTGCTCATGGGAGTGTGCTCATGGGAGTGTGTAGGGTAAGAGTGAGGGCCATATGAGGGAGGTGAGGGGGAGTCATCAGAGGCTTTCCATTTGGGGCGAGGGGGAGACTTTCGAGACGTCCAAAAGGCGAGTGTGCAGAGCGCGTGAGCAGAACGTGTGCAGAGTGAGGGCGAGGGCGAGGGCCGTACAAGGGAGTTGAGAAATGAGTCATCAGAGGCGTTCCACTTGGGGCGAGGGGGAGAGCCTGGGAGGGTGTGCAGCCCTCGTCTGTACCACTCCTCTCGCCCATGCCCGCCTGCTCGCGCCCTGCAGCGCAGGAGAAGGGGTAGGGGGAGGGGGGTAAGGGGCCCGTACAAGGGAGAGTTGGGCCACGAGTGGAAGAGCGAGGCCAAGGGAAGGTCGAGCAACTCCGGGACGCATCAGAGATTTGCTAGACGCCTTGTGCGACTGTGAACCGAATTCTGACAGTAATATACGCTTCTTTGTGAGTTCCGAAAGCTTCAACAGGCCAAGGGATGCATTCGGGAAATGTGTGGGTGAGATAGCGCGGCTGTGACGGTGAGGGGCCGCAGTGGCCGTTCGTACCCAGGGCGGACTTGCGCGCTCGCGGACACACCCGCAAACCCTCCCTCCTCCGCCTCCTCGCCCCCCGCTTGGCGCTCGCTCCGCGCCCCCGCGCCATGGCTCCCGCGCGCGTGCTTGCTCCGCGCAGCCCCATCCATGCGCGAGGAGAGCAGGACAAAATTCACCACGAACAAAACCACCGCCAGAGCCGCCAGTACCCTGTTTAGACTCGCGCCCTTTCCCCCTCCTCCCGCTCCCCCTCCCCCTCCGCCTCCCCCTCCCCAGCGGCGCCGGTGTCTGCTCTTCCCCGTGGGAGTCCACGGCCGCACGGCCGCGGCAGCCAAGGCGACCTTCTTCTGGATCACAAACGCGGTGACTCGTCGCCGTTGCACCCACCACCACCGGCTGCGGCTCACGAGCGCCTGGAACAGCAGCAGCGCGCGGTGCAGGAACCCATAGGTGCGATCAGCGAAATTGTGAGTGCTTCGACTCGGACCCCTCGGTACCCTCGTACGAGAGTCATCCGTACGATAATCCTCCGTGCGGGAGTAATCGGTGCGACGGTCGTCAGTTCGGTAATCCTCTGTACGGTAACGCTCCGATTGGCGACCATCCGCTGAATAATCCCTGGTAGAAAAATCTCCCGTTATAAGAGCCTCGGTGCGTCCCGTGAGCGCGGGTGTGTCAAAACGACTCGACTGAAACAAAGAGTCTTGACCAGGTGACGATTCTCTATCAGAAGATATACGACTAGCCGATTCTGGATCATGCGATTCTCGTCTAGACGATTCTCGATCATGTGATTTTCGTTCAGACAATCCCCGATCATGCGGTTCTGGATCAGTCGATTCTCGATCATGCGATTTTGGATCTGGCCATGGCTGATCAGGCAATTGGCGGTCGGGCAAATCTCGTTGGGCAACCGCTGCGGTGAGCGGAGAAGCGTACGAGCAGGTCAGGGTTTCGGCTGACGATCCACGGAGCCTGGCCGAAGACCCACCAGCTCTGGCTGGGAGTTCATAGAGCCTGGCTGAAGCTTCACCGAGACTGGCTGGAAATTCATGGAGCCTGACTGAAGTATCAGCGAGTCTGCTTGGGGATCCATTACAATGTCGGGGTTCTCGATCCGATGGCGAAGCCTGACCGGATGATGACAGCAAGTCTTGCACAATACGACTAGGCTGAGAAGCCTGTCTGTGAGCACAGCTACAATGAGTTCTATCATTGAAACCGGCTGGGACGCCCTGAGAGATCGCCAATCCAGCACTATCAGGAGAGCTGCTGCTAGGAACACCAGGAGTCCTGCGAGGAGATCCGTCCGAGAGGGAACGACGTAGATCTGGGGGACTATCGAGTGGAGTCGGGTCGGAACGGTGCGAATCTGGCTCTGCTTCGGTGTGTTTGGAACGACTTCGCTGACGCAGAGACTCTTGGAATGCATTATGGTGTTCTGAGGAGTCCTCAATCTGATTGATCGGACGGCTATCATCAGCTGCATTATCCATTGACACAAAACCTTGCGAACACTAGAACGTTTCTTAAAAAAACTCGCTTCGGGGAAAAGGTATACCGCGATCACCCACTGGGCTTTGATATGATGCCGTTAAGGTCTGAGTCTTAATCACTAATCGTTCTGAATGGTGTAGCAGCATAACGCTGGAGCATCTCAGCACGCACGTACATAATAATTCGAGCCAGAAAACCTAATCCCTGCATGTTCACTCCGGTGTCTCTTCGTCTGCAAGCTAAGAAGAACGCAAGAACGCGCAACTCAATGAAAACGCATTCAGCGCAAAGTAAGTCTGCAAGCAACGGCAAAATGCAGCCTATTCATGATCTTGCTTCGGAAAGTCGTGAGGAACGACTCATTTCAGAAGGAGAGCTAATACAGGGTTTCGGGAGATGAGCTAATCAGCGTTTCCATTCAGTTAGGGAGGCATGCTGGTAGCCCACGCTTCGGCTAGGCTTCATCCTGGAGCTCACGTTCAATCACATCACAAGCACACACATTCTGAAGACTCGTGGACAGGACAGAGAAATGGCCGACAGCCTGTAAGGCCACTGGTGCTTTCTGGTTCGCTGGTCGGTGCGGAAGCTTTTGAATGCGGCTCAATATGGTGCTTTACGTTCTGAGGCATTAAATGTGCGTTTGGGTATGGTATTTCTGGAAGTGGGAGAACTTCACAGGCTTTCCTGGCTGCTGTTGGTTGTTGCCTACAAGTTGGAGGGACGGGCAATTTCAATGTTTGACTGTACGGTGCTGCTGGGGAAGGCCGTGCTGACTTCGCTTGCTAAAACGCTGACGATATCGAGTTACAAATTCGCCCTCCTCGTCTGGTCGGCGTTGTCAGAACCAACGCGACAACCCATTGGCTACGACGGGCACGGCGGTAAGAGCTTCACGACAAGACCCGCAAAATTAGGGGGACAGACAGGAACACACTGGAGCCACCAGTTTCGGGTTCCGGGTGGTGCGACATGGGAAGGTCGTTATTACAATCACAATCTGAATCACAATGCTAAACGGTACATGGAAATACACAAATCACAGTTCTCCCTGATTGAAAAAGCCACCAGAATATTGTGACAAGGGGACTCCCATGTCCCTCAGAAACTCATTTTCCGAATCCACTGCCAACTGCAAACGCGCACGTTTATAAGAAAAATGTCAATCTGTGAAAAAATGCAGATATTATTTACAAATGGTGGATCCAAAAAGTTTAATTGCACCTCCAAGATGAGTTGAGCTCCCTTCTTGTCCAGCACACCGTTGTACTCTCCACACGCTAGAAACTGCATGTTTCAGAATAATGTTGGGCAACGATGGTTGTGTGGATGGCAAGTAATGGAAACACGATTACATCAATAATGATATGCCACAAACAGCCAACACAAAAACGATGCTACATATGAGTTCTACAAGAATACACTTGAGTAAAAAAAGAAAGGAAGTGACCGTTTGACTCACATGTACACAGCCAGGGCAGCCATTGGGCATGTTACATTGGCACTTGGTAACCAGCTCCAGTGCAGCACGGAGAATTGCGGGGAACTGAGGCTGCAGCTGAAAGAAGGGGGGAATGACAGGAGCAGGGAGGAGGCAGGAAGAGTGAAGTGAATTCAAAACCTGGGGCGCATGAGAACATTCGATAAATGACCGGATGCAAGGCTGAGCTAGCAAGTCAGCAAGTTCACAAGGCCCTGGAGGTGCGATTGCGGGTGATTCACATATTCATACTATCACCTGCACACCCAGGACTAATTTCTCCAGGTTCCAGGCACTCATACCTGGGGAAAGGAGCGGGAGTTGTAGGGGGAGCAAGGGGTGAGAGCTGGGGCGGTGGATAGAAGAATAGTTTCCCCAGGTGCCTATTGGTCATACTACCAGGCGCCCCAGAGTTGGTCATACCTGCACTGCCAGGCCTATGCCCCCCGGGTGCTTGTCATAGAGCAGGAGGCGCTGGGGGAAGAAGCGTGAGTCATAGGGCGATGCACACTCCACTCCCATGTCCGATGCCATGCATGCTAGGAAGCTGCATGGGTGGATGGCAGGCAGAGAAAAGGTTGAGCGGTGGGAGAGAAGGGCCAATGGCGTGGAAGCTCGATGGGTGGAGTGCAGGCAGGAGGAACAAGAGCGAGTGGCAGGTGGGAGGGAACGAGAATGAGTCAGAAAGAAGAGGAGAGGCATTCTCATGTGGCACCATGAGGGCAGGGCTGCTGCGTAATTGATTCGTGTGGAAATTAATATTGAATGCATGTGTTGATTGATTGGAGCATTGATGCATGGGTGCGTTGGTGCGTGGGTAACAGTCGCTCACAGGGGCGCCATGTTGGCGAGGGCATGAGCAGCAGCATGCAGGCTGGCACGGTAGTCACTCCCCGCTGCCTCCACTGCTGCCTTTGTCCCGCCTGCCACCCCCACCCACACTGCCTGCACGTCCCACGTCCCCTCAAAAATAGAAATCTCCAGAAAAATAACTTCAGTGCATCAATACTGAAACATGAAGAAAACACACAAAGAGAGAATCCTGTGTTTGCCACAAGGTAGCGTCATTTCGACTCACTCACCTGGGTGGCGTACGTTACATCTGGCAGTGTCATCTCCACCGTTTCAAACGGCTCTCCTGACCCACGCCACATCTTGCGGTAACCAATCCACCGAGTCGTAACCTCACACGGCGCCGTCTGTGCTGATGTCATCACACCGCCTGCTGCCATGTGCACTTTCGTCATTGGCTCAGAAGGTGCAGATGCGTGTGCTGCTGAGGTCATCGCCTCTTTGAGCACTGTGTGTGCTGACGTCATATCAGCAGAAGCTGAAGCAGGATTTGCTGATGGCATGTGTGGGTATGGAAAAGCCTGCCGGTGCAAGAGAGAGTGTGAGTGAGTAGATAGGGGAAGTGTGTTGATTCGATGGTACATAATCTGAACTTGAAATGAATCTGCTGGCTATGTGCTCACCAGAGCGCCCCCCTTTATAGTCACAGTGACCATGTCAATTATCTTGATGTAATGCATACTGCACAGGACAAGGTATAGATGAAACCCGTGTGCACCCAACTTGCTCACCAGAGTGCCCCCCTTTATAGTCACGGTGACCATGTCAATCGTCTTGGTGTAATACCGCACATCTGCACGCACACACCGTGCCTCCCGCTTCTCCAGATCCAGGGAAGTCACCAGGAAGGTTCGCCCCTGCTGCAGATAAACTGCACCCTCGTATAGCTGCACATGGGGGTATGGGGGAGAATGAAGACAACATGTGAGGCGCCTCGAAAGCCCGGCTGCGGGTACAAGGCACCCTCGTACAGCTGCACGAAAAGGGATGGGGGAGAATGAAAAGTAAAAAGAACAAAAAAATCAGAGGGACAACAACACAGACATCCCAATAAAAGCTTTGCTCACTTCCACCTGAGGTTTCTTTACAGATTCTAAAAAATCTCACCACAAAAAATGCCTTGCTCTCTTCAATCTCCTCCAGCACCCTCCCAGTCCTCGCCTCCACCACCGCATACGTGTTCGGGTCGATCGCCCGCACCGGGACAAACAGCGCCGGCCGCTTCCCTGCCCCAATATATCTCCACCCACGGTCCACCTCGGGATTCTCCGGACTCCTCCCGAGTGCGCCCTTCCCCGCCAGCTCAGCAATCCTCTCGGCCAATGACGGGCCAAAGAACCTCCCATCCACATCCTCCAGCAGCGGCAGCTCCGCCGCAGCACACTGCAGCTGCTGCCGCATCACCAGGGGATTCTCCGCGTCCAGCTGGCAGCGCTCGATTGGCCGGGAGAACAGCCTGTCAGGAGCCGCCATGAAGTACTGATCGAGAGGCCCGTCAAATGCGACATAGATGGAGAGGGAGGCCTTCTCCCTGCGCCCTGCCCGGCCTGCCTGCTGCCAGAGGCTGGCGGTGGAGCCGTGGAAGCCAAGGTGCAGGGTGGCGTCGAGGGCCCCCACGTCCACCCCTAGCTCTAATGCGCTCGTTGCTGCCACGGCCCGGAGACGCCCGTGAAACAGCTCCCTCTCTATGCGCCGCCGGTCCTGATGAGATGGGGGGAAAGAGGAACGGGCAGGAGAGGGCATGGAGAATGGCTTGTGTGAGCCCTGCACCCTGCGGCCAGCCCTGCCCTGCCCTGCCCTGCTGCCAGAGGCTGGCGGTGGAGCCGTGGAAGCCGAGGTGCAGGGTGGCGTCGAGGGCCCCCACGTCCACCCCTAGCTCCAATGCGCTCGTTGCTGCCACGGCCCGGAGACGCCCGTGAAACAGCTCCCTCTCTATACGCCGCCGGTCCTGATGGGATGGGAGTGGAGGAAGGGGCAGGAGCGGCGTCGAGGGCCCCCACGTCCACTCCTAGCTCCAATGCGCTTGTTGCTGCCACAGCCTGCAGACGCCTGTGAAACAGCTCCCGCTCTATGCGCCGCCGATCCTGATGGGATGGGGGGAGGGAGGAAGGAGGGGAGGAGGGGGAAAAGATTATGGCAAGTTGCGCTTGCTGTTGCCATGGCACGGAGGCGCCCGTGAAACAGCTCCCTCTCAATGCGCCGCCGGTCCTGATGAGATGTCGAAGAGCGGAAGGGCGGACAGGCGGAGCTGTCAGAGTCAGGACGGACAAGGCAAAGGCGTGGAGAGCAAGGCGTGGAGAGCAAGGCAAGGCGTGGAGAGCAAGGCAAGGCGTGGAGAGCAAGGCAAGGCGTGGAGCGCAAGGCGTGGAAGTAGTGAGTGGGCGGAGAAGGGAGGGGAGACCGCGTGGGCAGTGCCATCACGTTGACAAGTGCAGCGGGCGGGGCAATAAAGGTGCCTGGCATGGAGTATAAGATTTGAAGAAGATAGGCACATAGGAAAGACAAAACAGAAGAGAGGCATGTGGCTGACCTGAGCAGTGTACCCGGCACGGTATGCCAGCACTGTGTCGACCAGATGGGGTGCTCTCTCCCGCAGCACCTCCTTGCTGGTGGGCCCAGGGGCGATAAGGTATGGCACAAGGGGAGGGGACGCAGCAGGCATAGGGTGGGTGGGTGGCAATGGCACAGTATGGCAGCACTGTGCCCACCAGATGTGGCGCTCTCTCCCGCAACACCTCCTTGCTGGCGTGGCATGCACCCATGGGCCGTAGGAAATGGAACAAGACGAGGTGGCAGATGGCAGGACGTGGGAAAGGGAGGGGACGAGATCAGCCGGCTAGGCTAGAGTCTCATTTCGAGGAAGAGCGTCTTATGTGTACAGCCTAGCATACACGTAGAAGTTTAGGAACGAGACGTGGGAATGAGACTCAAGTTTAGGACAAGAGAAGATCGGAGTGGCATCTCTCTCACGTGTAACTTTTGAGTCGACTCAAAAGTCACCTCGATAGGAGGGGCATCTCACGTGTATGTGAGGACGAGCTCTGAGAGCTTCCTGGTGTTGCAGAAGGCGAGGCAGCGCAGGTCGTGCTGCACCATCTCCGCTAGCAGCAGCGCCACCTCCACTATGGGGCTGACAGGTGGGGGAGGGGGGCAGGAGGGGAGAAGGGAAGGGCGAAGCGTGAGAGTGGGCAAGGACGGGAAGTAGAGGCGGATAAGGAAAGGGACGAGGCAGTGACTGTCGTGCTGTACCATCTCTGGTAGCAGTGGTGCCACCTCCACTATGGGCCTGGGGGATGGGGGAGATGGGGCAGGTAGTGACGGGCGTGGAAGGGGGCCAGGAGGGGAAGAAGCGGTTGTGGAAAGAGGCAAGGCAGCGCGTGTCGTGCTGTACCATCTCTGCTAGCAGAAGCGCCACCTCCACTCTGGGACTGGGGGGAAAATGGAGTTGCACTGGCAGGTGGTGCATGGCAACAGGTGGACACAATATGCTGCAAGCAACCCGCAGATCCTCTCATGCTTTCCGCCCCTCTTGAAACTCTCCCAGAATCCGCATTCCTTGCCGTGCCAGACTTGCCACTCAGGCACACTATGCGAGCAACAAGAGGCAATACAGCTTAGCTAGTCACGTGGCAATACAAATGAACACTTGTGGAATTAATGTGGCGCATCCTCCTCCCCTTACCTGGCTCGTTTGGCCATCATCACGTGTGTGCAAGCCGCGGCTGGCTGCAGCAGCTGTGGCGTCTGCCTTCGAGAGCTGCGGCGCAGAGGCCTGGCAGCCTGGGGGAGGAGAGATGGGTGAACAAGAGAGAGCGTGAATGTGCGTAGGTTGAGAAGGATTGTGTAGCAACTGGTTGCCACAGCTGTGGCGTCTGGATTCGAGAGCTGCGGGGCAGAGGCCTTGCAGCCTGGGGGAGGAGAGATGGGTGAACAAGAGAGAGCGTGAATGTGCGTAGGTTGAGAAGGATTGTGTAGCAACTGGTTGCCACAGCTGTGGCGTCTGCATTCGAGAGCTGCGGCGCAGAGGCCTTGCAGCCTGGGGGAGGAGAGATGGGTGAACAAGAGAGAGCGTGAATGTGCGTAGGTTGAGAAGGATTGTGTAGCAACTGGTTGCCATAGCTGTGGCGTCTGCATTCGAGAGCTGCGGTGCAGAGGCCTTGCAGCCTGGGGGAGGAGAGATGGGTGAACAAGAGAGAGCGTGAATGTACGTAGGTTGAGAAGGATTGTGTAGCAACTGGTTGCCACAGCTGTGGCGTCTGCATTCGAGAGCTGCGGCGCAGAGGCCTTGCAGCCTGGGGGAGGAGAGATGGGTGAACAAGAGAGAGCGTGAATGTGCGTAGGTTGAGAAGGATTGTGTAGCAACTGGTTGCCACAGCTGTGGCATCTGCATTCGAGAGCTGCGACGCAGAGGGCTGGCAGCCTGGAGGGGAGAGACAGGTTCAAAAAAGAGAGTGTAAGATTGCGTCGAATGAGAGGGATTGTGTAGTCCCAACGCACCTGAAGTCCCAACGCACCTGCAGTCCCAACGCACCTGCAGTCCCAACGCACCTGCGGTGTCTGCCTCCTTGAGCTGCGCCGCAGAGGCAGGGTCAAGAGGGGATGCGGTCCCTAATACGGTACTAGCTGAGATCCATGGGGCGGGGGTCAAGAGGGGGTTGCTTACAGGTGGCATAGTGATGGGCGGGTTCCAGAGAACAAAGCTCTTGCGACCACAGGGGCTGCCATCGTCACTGCCATCCACCACCACCACTTCCTCCACACCCAGCAAGGCTCGCACATGGTCCTTGGGATCCGCACACGTGGCAGAGCACACTATGAAGATTGGATCTGAGCCGTACACTGGACCGATGGGACGGGGATGGGGATGGGGATGTGGATGTGGATGGGGATGGGGATGGGAATGTGGATGGGGATGGGTTTGGGATGGGGATTGGAATGGTCATGGGGTTTGGGAGGGGGATTGGGATGGGGATGGGGATGGGGATGGGGATTGGAATGGTCATGGGGTTTGGGAGGGGGATTGGGATGGGGATGGGGTTTGGGATGGGGATTGGGATGGGGATGGGGATGGGGATTGTATGAGTGGGCGAATTGCATGGTGGAGTGATGCCAAAGCGTGTCAGCTGAACAGTGCGGGGCAGGACCAACCATGGCATTACCCGGGTTTAAAAATCGTTCGTGGAACAAGACACAGAGCACAGGCAGTGGCACGGGAGCGAGAAACATGCTATTGCACCAACCATGCATGGTCTTGAACCCAACACAGCGAGCACGTGTGTTGTCCCCAGACCCTGTCATCCCCTGCCCATCCTACACATCCACCTACCGCAAGCACACAGCCAAATGCCAATCCCACCCATCCCAACCACCCACCCGCCCACCCACCCGCCCACCCGCCCACCCGCCCGGCCACTCACCCCAACCCACCCCAACTCACCGTGAGCGCAGAGGCGGCGCAGGCGTCTGAAGATGAGAGCAGCATGGCAGCCAAACGCGCCCCTGTAGGCATGCGCCTCGTCCACCACCACAAAGCTGGGAGAGACTCGCAGGCGGAGTGTGGGTGTGGGGTGGGGGGCGAAGGTAGAGCAGGGTGGAGCAAGGTAGAGTGAGGCTCCATAGCGCTTCCCCTGTATGCATGCGCCTCATCCACCACCACAAAGCTGGATTGGGGGCACGGAAGAAGAGGTCGGCGGAAAGAGAGGGGAGGTTGAGTGGGGTGCGGTACAGTAGAGTGAAGCAACATGGCGTCCCTGTACGCATGCGCCTCATCCAACACCACAAATCTGGGTTGGGGGGGTGATGCAAGGGGGATGGCGGGAAGGTGGCGTGACTAATAGCGTGACTTGCATGCGCCTGTGGAGGGGGCGGGGGGGTGGTGGAGCAAGAAGGTCGAGTGAAACAAAGAGGCCATTTCCGCTAGCTGCATGCATGCATCTGGCAAAAACAGAAAGGGGTTTTCAGGAAGCAGACGGAGAGGGTAAGGAGCAGCGACAAGCGAAGAGGAAGACATCTCACTTACTCTCCGGTAGGAGGGGGCAAGCAAGTACCACAAGGACCACATGAGAGGGCGAGGCAGCTCAGGAGGGAAAGGGCACTTGGAATGGGCAAGGCAAGATTGAGCCGGACTAGAAAGGACGAGCCCGAGCAGAAAGGACGAGCCAGAGCAGAAAGGACGAGCCGGACCAGAAAGGACGAGCCGGACCAGAAAGGACGAGCCGGAGAAGAAAGGACGAGCCGGAGCAGAAAGGACGAGCCGGAGCAGAAAGGACGAGCCGGACCAGAAAGGACGAGCTAAGGGATTCTGGAGACTGAGAAGAGCACATGGAAGGCGGCTCTCCTCTTGTCTGCCAGCTTGACAGCGCTGCGACGCGGTGTGCGCTGCTGTGTGCCTGGAGGAAAATGGGGGACGATGGGGACTGAGAAGCAGCGACTCCAGACACAGCACAAGCAAGAAGCAAACACTCCACACGTGGCACTAGTTTCCCAAAAAAAAAACACTAACCAGCACGCACCTTGCAGCAGCATGCCTCCTCGCTTAATCTGCTGCTCTGGCGGACGAGATGGGTCCCACATGCCCACCACCACAACCAGCGCAACTCCATCTCCTCTCCCCTTCCCCCCTCTCGTTATAGCTGCTTTCCCCCCTCTCCTTCCCTGACCTTCTCGCCCCTCATCAACTCCCCCCTCCTCCCGTCTTCCACCCCGTGTTTCCCTTACTCCTCGGCCCCTTTCACCTCTGCAGCTGCCAGCTCCCTCCTCCCGCGCATGAGCACGCCCTTCAGCCCCCTCACTCACTTCCTCCCCCTCACTCCCTCTCCCTGCCCCCACCAGCTCAACCTCTCCCCCAACTTTCCCTTCCTCGTCCTCCTCCTCGTCTTCCTCTTCCCACGTCCAAATCACCGAAGGAGCCAGTGTTGCCATGTCCCTGATGTCCTGCCATGACCGTCAGTCAGTCCCACATGCAAGGCACAGACAAACAGACGCAACAACACACGCACTTATCCACCTGGCATACGAGCCTGCCACTTGCCCACAAGAGACACAATCAGGAGCAACCGCCCTTAGCGCACAGTCACACGAGCATAGAGAACTGCCACTCAATCATTAGCTCACTCACTCACTCCCTCACTCATTCATTCATTCCCTCACTCACTCGCCCATTCACTCACTAACTCACTTGGAGAGTGACGGCGTCGCCCTCGGTGCCGCTCCCAAGGTCCTTCAATGCGACCTCCAGCCGCTTCCACGTGGCCTGGAGTTATGATAGGGGCACAAAGAATGGCGAGACGGGAGTGACCATGACAACAGTCAAAGGATCTCCTGGGTCAGGAAAAAGCACATGGCGTGGCAGTCAAATGCGGCTGAAATGCTAAGTTAACAGTTCATTTTCAAGAAGCACACACATACCTTGACAGCCCGCTGCTCCAAGAAACCATACACTGCAGCGAGCAGCCCAAACTTGCTGTCAAGCATGGCAACGCTGTGAGGCAACCCCACCCTGCCTGCTGCCTGCTGCTCGTCTCCCCTCTCTGCCTTCCTCTTCCGCCCCCCCAGCCTCTCCACCTTACTCGCCACCACGTCCTTTCCTACGCCTGTGATTCCCCCTGTGCTTGACCTATCCCTAATGTCAGTAGCACACGTTCTCGTGTCAGTAGAACCGTCCTTTATGTCAGCAGCGCCATTCCCATTGTCAGTAATACCATCCCTTATGCCATGTGCACCATTCACGCCTGTATGCACCACAGTCCCCGTGTCTTGTTCTCTCGTGCTGTTAGCATCCTCCCTGCCATCCCTCTGCGCCGTCCCCAGGGCCACGCCAGAGGCAGAATGGAGCCTACGAGTGCGAGGAGCATGGAATGGCAGGTAGCGAGGAGGGGAAGCTGGCCACATTGGTGCTGCTGGGGTTGGTAACGCTGCTGGCGACGGTGGCAATGGTGGCAATGGAGGTGATGGTGACAGTGCTGGTGCTGGTGCTGGTGTTGCTGGTGATGGTGGCGATGGTGCCGATGATGCCAATGCTGATGGTCGTGCAGGAGCTGGGTGTCCCGGTGCTGGAGACGGGGCCGAAGCTGAACGAGCTGATGATAAACTATCCCTGCTGCTGCAGGCTGCAACCGGGGAAAGAAAATCTTCTATCGCCTGAGAGCCATGATCAACCTCAGCAGACTCATTCCGCTTTGCGCCTCCGTCCTTGCTTAATGCAGCAAGTTCAGGAGGGTTGCTACTGGCCCGCTGCTCCACCACATCTACTGCACATCCCTTGTTTGCAGCAACAGCGTTAGTCTGAGCTCTTCCATTGGGAGGAAATCGCTGACTAGATGTAACAATGCAAGGATATGGGGGATGAGCAGATGGCGAAAACGGGATGGGATTCAGAAGGCGGGGAGACCCAACGGCTGTGCCGATGCCACGTTGACCAGTCAATGTCGCGGTAGCAGCAGCAAGACGTGGCGTCCCCCCGGGCTGTGAGGACAGCACAGGACCCATCTTTCGCTGCTCCTTGCGCTGGAAGCTCATCAGAACCAGGAAAGCGTCTGCAGGTACAGACTCAGAACCACAGGGCTTAGAGTTAAGGCCAGAAGCATGCGCCTCGCCACGAGAACTGCCATTCATGGGGATGGAGCTGCAAGCACGGATAGATGGGGTCCCTGGTGTAGCAGCGCTGGCAGATGCTAACGTGGCAGATCCAGGCCGGAGGAGGCCAGGAATGTCGACCAATCGGGTGGAGTCCTTGAGGCGAGAGCCCTGCAAGAGGGGTGAACAGGGTAGAGAGACCAGTGAAAACGGTGGAAAGGTGAGCAACGAATGCAAGTCATGCAGCCAGGACAGCGTGTGATGCATCAAGATCAACATTGCCGGTGAAGAAACCCCAAAAATATAATGGTAACAAAGAAAGAAAGAAAGAAAGAAAGAAAGAAAGAAAGAAAGAAAGAAAGAAAGAAAGAAAACGTCGGTCTGGCTGTGTTTAAGTCTGCTACACGGGAAATGGTGGAAAAACTAAAGCAGCAGGGGAATAGAACAGCGTCAATATGACCTACTTTATGGAAAATGACGTGTTTCAGGGACGCGTCCTTATTCATTGCGCCAGCAGCGACTCGCTTCACGTCGCCCACTCGCATGTCGCACGTCGCCTCCACTGACACGTGCGATCCAGTCAGATCCCTCACAACCACGCACGGTAGCTCGGATCGATTCATGGAGGCTGACGTGGCGGCACCAGACACATCGATCTGCTCGCGTGCTGCCATGACAGCTTACTTGCGGAGTGGTTCCGTCAATGAGGCTATCAGTTCAACGCTCTTACTCAGAGCCGGTGGGACGGCATTCAATCCGTTAAACTCGCGAGCAAACTGATTCGGAACCTAGAACAAATCAAGGATTGCTGATCAGGCTCGTGACCGATCAAGCGGGTTTCGCACACAGGTAATGGATTTCTAGAATTCGAAATAAGCAACCTTAAAATCCGAAGCACACGCAGAGCTCCGAAATTATGCTTCCTAGGAAGGCAATGGCTACCTTCAGGAAATTGCTGAATGATGGGATTCTAATGCTAATGCAGGGCCGTGTAAATCCTGCTCTCAGGCTTAGAATTCTAGAACGCCATAGCGAACATAATTTGATTTAGGAGAACAAGTCTGCAGGGGTAGGCTTCATGAACTAGAATCTAGGTTGACAGCAGGATTCAGGAACACTGCGAAATCTGTCACACCAAGGAAGCTCCGAGCTGCGTCACTGTTACGCTGGGATCGCAGCCTGTTTTCGGGAATATCTAGGATTCGTACGCGCTAGAGTTCACGAACATTTTATTGTGCAACACCAGAATCCATACGGCCACACCTAGTTGTTCCCATATTTGCAAATGAGAGTGACACATATTACTGATCTCAAATAACTCCAGCAAAATGGCAAAAAACCGAGAATAACATTTAGCACACTTGTCAATCATAATGAAAAGTCCATCGTATCTACACTCGGCATAATTTCACCACCAGTCGCATTGCACTCAAAACTCCAATCCTTCAACCTTCCTTCTGAGCAACAGCCGGGTACTTGCCCTGCACGTCCGTCCAAACCAGCAGCCCATCCGCTAGCTGGCGCACCACCGATGCCACCTCATCCTTGTGAATGCGCACCTGCGCTGTACTGTCACGCTCCCGTAGAGTCACAGTACCATCCTCCAGAGTCTGCCATTTGCGACATGGGGAAAATGAAAAGCGAACAGGAGAAATGGTGAGACAAAACCAAGACAAAATGGAGATGTATGGAGACGAGGAAGAGAAGATACGCCTCTTCCCCAACCACTAACCACCCCATCCTGCCTTTCCACTCTCCTCACCTGGCCATCCACAGTAATCGCAAACGGACACCCGAGCTCGTCCGTCCTCGCGTATCTCTTCCCAATCGTCGTGCCGGTCGTGTCAATCTTATTCGCCACGCCCGCCTTGGTCAGCCCCGCACTCGCCTCCTGCGCCACCTTCTCAAGGTCCCCGCGCTGCACGAGCGGGAAGACGGTGCACTTGATGGGGGCGACGAGCGGCGTGAAGCGGAACACGGTGCGAGCCTCGTCCGCGGAGGGGCGGGCGTAGAAGGAATGCTCGTAGATGCAGTAGATGATTCGCCCTATGCCGAATGATGGCTCGATCACTGACGGGGTGAATGATTGGCCCTGCGGGGTGGGTGGAGGAGTGGGACGGGGGGTAGAAGGGGGAAACAGATGAAAGGGATGGGGGGGTGGGAGTAGAAGGAATGCTCGTAGATGCAGTAGATGATTCGCCCTATGCCGAATGATGGCTCGACCACTGACGGGGTGAATGATTTGCCCTGAGGGAGTGGGGGGAGGAGGTGAGGAAGACAGGGTGCGAGGTAGGAAAGGGAGTATGTCAATGGCGAGGAAATGAGAGGGGGAGGGGAAGGGAACCATGGTGCTTTGGATGGGTGTGACAAGGAGTGATGGGTGGAAAGAGAGAATAAGAGGGGAGGAGGAACAGAGCTGCACGCAAGTCACTCTTGAGAGCTCGCATAAGCTTCTCTGCTGTTGCTTCCACTGTCGCTCACGGCTGAGAGACGGTCGCAAAGGGCAGCATGACAAAAGATGCGCCCAGTGAACTCCCTTAGCCCCACTACCCACCTGCAGCTTCTTCTTCTCCCTGCTGATGGCGACCATCTCCCTGGTGAGGCTGAACGCCTGAGTCCCCCCACATGGTGTGTACTCCACCTTTCCATCCGCCTCCAGCGCTGCTTTCATCGCCAGTGCCTCCGCCTCTGTCATTGCCTCAAGGGACTCAGCAATGAGCTTAGCATCGCGCTTGAAGGCCTTGCCGATGTCCTTCTTGCTGGGCACAATGCTCATCACCTCCACCTCCCTCGGCTCGGGGAACTTCTCATACGCCACCAGCTCCACCTTGCTCTTCTCCTGTCAATATGCACAGGGGGGACGGGGAGAAAACAACGTCTCAGCGAGTGTGGTGAAGCAAAAGGGGGCAGACAAATGGAAGGCGTTACTCCCTCACTGTGTTCCACCTACAACCATACCTGTGTGACCAGCCCTCACTGTGTTCCACCTACAACCATACCTGTGTGACCAGCCCTCACTGTGTTCCACCTACAACCATACCTGTGTGACCAGCCCTCACTGTGTTCCACCTACAACCATACCTGTGTGACCAGCCCTCACTGTGTTCCACCTACAACCATACCTGTGTGACCAGCCCTCACTGTGTGAGCTCACTGCATTCTTGCACCATACCGTGTGAGCCTTCAGATCAAACGCAGAGCGATCTGCCAGCCCAACACACTCCACCCATCCATAGGAGCACTCGATCTCAGCATCCCAGCAAGTGCTGCCAGTGCTGCTACTGGTGCTGCAGGTGCTACATGTGCTGCTGCAACTCTACTCACAGTATGCGCCTTCAGATCAAAGGCAGAGCGATCAGCAAGCCCAACACACTCCACCCATCCGTACGAGCACTCAATCTCAGCGTCCCAGCAGTCCGTGGCATAGTGCGCCATCTCGTGCTGCAGGTGCTGGCGGAAGCGCAAGCGCTGCGGGTCGATGCCCAGGCGCGACAGGAAGTGGAACGTGCGCCCGATGAAGTAACCAAGCGTTTCATTGTTGATTATGCCCTGTGAAACGGGGCGGAGTGGGTGAGGGAGGCAGAGGGGGAAACATCAGGCGCTGCGGGTCGATGCCCAGGCACGACGGGAAGAGGAACGTGCGCCCGATGAAGTAGCCCAGGGTCTCGTTGTTGATGATGCCCTGCCATGGGAGGGTGGTGGTGGGATTGGAAGTGGATTGTAGGCGAGGGATAGATTCATGAGGCTGTGAGCTGGGACTGGGAGTTCACACTCTCAGCTCACATAGTGAAGTTTTACAGCTGGTGTACCCAACCCCCCACCTTACCATCCGAGGCATAGCTAGTGTACCTTACCCACCACTTGCCATCTCACTCCCTAACCTTCTCTACAGCATTCCCCCCCGGCACATGGTCACCAGCTGTTTGGGTCCCAGCTGCTCCGCGCGTGGGTAGGCCCGCCACAGAAGGGAAGAGCGGGTGGGACCTAGCTGAGGCTGTTTGGGGCTCACATCACAAACTGCCAACAGTGCCCATCTCTAACCGTCTCATCCCCCCTCACCTTCTCCACCGCATCTCCCAGCCGCATGGTGACGGGCTGTTTGGGCCCCAGCTGCTCCGCGCGCGGGTAGAGCAGGAAGGAGAGGTCCGCCACCGAGGGGAAGCGCGGGTGGGACTTGTCGGTGGGGCTCACGAAGTGCTCGATCTCCGCCAGGGTGAATTCTCGCACTCGCAGCAGCCCTGCTCGTGGGGCGATCTGTGGAGGCGCGTGGGAGGTGATGGCGGCGGTTGGCACACGAATGGAGAAGAATTAAGTTGCTAGCAAGGTCGAAGCGTACAGAAGGAGGGGAAAGAAGATGGGAAGAGAGTGAGTCGGAGGAAAGGTGCTCAGCGGTCGGTACGACACCCACTGACTCTCCAACTTCCCAACTGCCCAAGTCCACAATGAACCGACTTTTGAGTTTACTCAAAACTCAAGAGTCGACTCAAAAGTCAACTCTCCAACTTCCCAACTGCCCAAGTCCACAATGAACCCGCCACAGCGCAACCCACCTCGTTGCGGAAGGCCTGGCCGATCTGAGCAGCAGCGAAGGGCAGCTTGCCACCGTTGTAGTACAGCAGGTCCTTGAAGTTCACGAATATGCCCTGCGCTGTCTCTGGGCGCAGGTAGCTGCGGGGATGGGGGGAGAGTGGGGGAGTGGGGGAGGGGGAGATGGCAAGAGTGGGGGGGCAGCGAAGGGCAGCTTGCCGCCGTTGTAGTACAGCAGGTTCTTGAAGTTCACGAATATGCCCTGCTGCGCTGTCTCAGGGCGCAGGTAGCTGGTGGGGATGGGGAGGAAGGTGTGGGGGGTAAGACAAAAGGGAGTGAATAGATTGTATGAGGGGAAGGGGCACCGTTGTAGTACAGCAGGTCCTTGAAGTTCACGAATATGCCCTGCGCTGTCTCGGGGCGGAGGTAGCTGGTGGGGGAGAAGGGGAGAGGGGATGGCAGGCGGGGCCTCCCATCATGTCAATTCTCCACCGTGCCAGCCCTCCAGCCCAACAGCCCCATTAGGCACTCATCGGCGCAGCAGGCCCGTTGGACCAATGGCAATGGAAACATGAGTCGAAGGGGTGCAAGCGAGGTGCCTTCTGAGTCTACTCAACACTCGCCCGTGCAGCAGCCCCGTGGGCCCAATAGCGGTGGAGAACATGAGGTTGAACGGGTACGGTGTGAACCCTCTCACCTTGCCAACCCTCCACCACATGCCAGCCGCGCTTACCCATGCAGCAGCCCCGTGGGCCCGATAGCGGTGGAGAACATGAGGTTGAACGGGTACGGCGCGGACAGGTCATTCTTGGTATCCGGCGCCTTCACCTCGAACTCCTTCAACTTGCCGTCCAACTCCTCTGCACCGTACTCGTCCAGCACGGCCAGCACGTGCTTGATCTCCTCGCGCCTCTCGGGCGCCATCGTGACCTCCTTCTCTAGCAGCTCCCCCAGGTGGTCTTTCAGGAGGTGGTCCGCGCGGTAGCACGCCTGGGTCTTCACGTCCTTCACCATGAGATCGGTGAACTTGTCCACGTGGCCTGACGCGCGGAGGACTGCGTCTGGTGTGACGCACGGGCAGTCGACTTCCAGCATGTTCTCCTCTAAGACGAAGTGCTGCGATGGCGGTGGGTGATGGGGGGGATGGGTTGTGGAAGTTGAGCAGAGGGTGGGAGGGGGAAGGAGGAGAGAGGAAGGCGGAAAGGGGAAAGACATCGGTTGGAGGAAGGGGTCGGGGGAGGGTTGTGAGCGAAGAGGACGAGAGTGGGCGGACGACGGAGACGAAAGAGTGTCAGCGTCAACGCCAGGCGCGGAGAGAACGCGCGGGGATGGCTACGCGGTTGAGGGTTTATGCCTGACACGTGCGTAACACGTGCCAGACATGCGTCAGACACGGATCGACACGCGCAGGTGCGGAAGATAGCGTCGTCGACGACCAGCGCAGTGGTACGTTCGTCATTCATGAACGACGACCAGCGCAGTGGTACGTTCGTCATTCAGGAAGGGAAGATCCGTCATGCGAGATCAGCCGTGAGTCGCGGTCGGCTAACGTGCTCGAATGGGAAGAAATCCGAAACCATGTGACCGTTTCAGGGTACCATTTGAGCCAGATCGCGCCTCTGCCGGATCGCAACTGCCTCAGAACGCAGCAGCCTCAGATCACGCTTCTCAAATCCCACCTCTCAGAATGCACCCCCCTCGGATCGCAAACGCCTCAGATCACACCCATCTCAGATCCCACCTGCCGCAGACCGCACCTGGCGCCAGAAGGCGAGCACATTCGACTTGACGGCGCAGCCGGGCGGGCCGTAGTCGAACAACCCAGCCACGCCGCCATAGATCTTGAAGCTCGGAATGATAAACAGCCGTCGCTCCAACGCGTTATTCACGGCCTGGCGGAACGCCTCGCGATTGATGCTCGCATCCTTGCCCTTTCCGCCTCCCTCCGCCTCCGATTTCGCCGTGAAGGCCTTAGTCGCTGACTCGAGGTCTAGCTTTAAGTGCTTGAGCTTCTCGATCGCCGCGTCGATCTCGGCGCGATCGGCTTTCGCGGCTTTCAGGGCTCGCACGGTGTCGCCTTGCGTGGTAACCTCCTCTTGTTTCGCCACGACGGCTTGCCGTAAAGCCTCGAGCTCATCGCTGGGAGCCATGGTCACTAAACTAGGCGATTGTGCTTGAAACGTCTTACAAATTAGAAAATCTGTGTACAATAAAATATATTAGATAATTCCGGTATTCCATTTGTGCCACGTGTCAGGATGGCCGAGTTGGTCTAAGGCGCCAGTTTCAGGTACTGGTCCGAAAGGGCATGGGTTCGAATCCCATTCCTGACATCTTTAGTACTCTTCCAATCTTTCCGTTTTTTTTTCAACAGCCCTTGCAGACAATATCCCGGCGAAATGACGCGCATCAGCGGAAATTGTGCTTCTCTCAATTGCATCGACCCAAATTATTGTGACCTCGCAACGTCGGCGTTTCCCGTGTTTGTGCGCGCTCTGTTTGCTCTATTTTCCCGCCCTCCCCCTCCAAATTCGGGCAGCTGTGCTGAAGTTTAAATCTATCACAAACAGTCGTCATTTCAGCCTTATTGGGTACCTCTGCATTTTTGCCACATGAGGAACTTCTGATTGGTCGAAACATATCGCAAGAGCAATTACAAATGTTTCGAAATTCAGGTAACCTTTTGTAATTGCTTTTGCGATATGTCTGGACTTATCAGAAGCTCCTCACGTGGAGAAAATATGGAGGTACCCAAGAAGGGTGAAATCGCGACCGTTTGTGATAGATCTGAAATTCAGCACAGCTGCCGGAGTTTGGAAACGAAGAGCGGGAAAATAGAGCGAACATGACGCCTTGCTTTCCTTCTCCCAAACCTCTCTTGCGTTTTTTTTCTTTCCTCATTGATAGTTGCATCTCATGTTTTTTGCCTCTTCAAAGCCGAGCCTCTGGTAGAGCCAAGGCTTCAGGCCACAGACCCGTTTTGTTAAATAAACCCCCCCCTGGTACAGGCGGTAAACTGTCAGGTGAAGCTTCCCATGGGATATTCTCCCCTTGTGTCTGTGGCTTGTAGCTGAGGTTGCACCAGTGGCGCCTCTCCCTTGTGCTTGTTCTGTTCCCTTCTTGTGCACCCGCCATCCTCCTTCACCCCCTCGCCTCTCCACCAGTCACTCACGGTTTTTCCGTGGGCCATTGCAAGTGGAGGGGAGGGGCATGGGGTCAATACCGCCACTCCCACTGCCCATTCACTTGTTCTTCTGTTTACTTGAGTGTTTCTGTTCATGCCAACTCACCGGTTCCTCCTTCCTTTCCTCTCCTGCCCCTCTCCACCCCACTACCAGGTCACTTGGCATCAACAGAAGATTGCAGCAGAGGAAGTAGAGCAACACCAGAAGCGGCAGCGGCAGCAGCAGTAGCAGCAGCAGCAGCAGTAGCAGCAGTGGGGGCTGGGGGCTGGAGGGCGGGCTAAGCTAGGTTTAGCAGCAGGTGTGGTATGGTACAGGTCAGGTAACAGGTGAGGTATGGTATACTGATCCCATCCTCTTTCTCTTCCCCCTATATCTCTCTAGGTTGAAGGTGGGAGCACTGGAGCAAGGGCAGGAATGTGGAGTCCACCCTCTCACTCACCTCCTCCTCTCTCCCTTTTCCCTTCCCTCCCAGCAGCACCCTGCCTGGACCACAGTGGAGTCCTGCCCTTCCCTAATCCCCCCCCACCTCCCCACTCCCCAGTAGCCTCAAGCATCATGGCGCTCTGCATGGCTGTGATAAGTATAGGTAAGTGAAGGTAAGGAGGCATGGGGGGTGAAGTGTGGGGTGGGTGTGAGGGGAGCATGGGAGCAAGCGGGGAGTTAGGGGCAGCACTTTCTGGGGCTTGTGGCTTGTGGGTGGGGTGTGGTGGGTGGAATCTGCGCGGCACGGCACTCGGTGCTCAAATAACCAAATCAATCGTTTAAGGCTTAATGGACACCGTCAGAGTCGACCGGCCGGCGACTCTGGTTCGCACCAGCTCTAGCTACGTCGCGGGTGGGGTTTGAGTCTTAGGCTGGAAGCGATTTTCCACTGCCACACCTCTCCCCGCAAGGCATAGCCTCTGAGGGTGGTGTTTTCGAAGCTGTTTGCTGCTCCTACTGCTGGCAGGAGTGGGTTCTGACCTCCCTGCTCTGCCCTTTGCGTGGTTGGTGGCACATGATGAGCCGTATGGCACTAATGTCACTTGTTGGATAAGAGCATGATGCTCATGCTTGGTTGGTGGCACATGATGAAATTATCCTTATGGCACTGGTGGCACTTGTTGCGTGAGAGCATGATGCTCATGCTTGGTTGGTGGCACATGATGAGCCGTATGGCACTGATGCCACCTGTTGCATGAGTGCATGTTGCTCATGCTTGGTTAATGGCACATAATGAGCCATATGGCACTTATGCCACTTGTTGCGTGAGAGCATGATCCTCACGCTTGGTTGGTGGCACATGATGAGATGAGCCATATGGCACTGATGCCACTTGTGCTATGAGAGCATGGTGCTCATACTTGGTTGGTGGCACATGATGAGCCGTATGGCACTGATGCCTGATGGCACTTGTTGCATGAGAGCGTGATGCTCATGCTTTGTTGGTGGCACATGATGAGCCGTATGGCACTGATGCCACCTGTTGCATGAGACTGTGATGCTCATTCTTGGTTGGTGGCACTATGAGCATTTTGGCACTGATGCTGCCTAAAACGTTTT